CACCTCTGAGTTCCCGATCCACTGCTGCATTTGCCTGATGGAGCACACGATTAGATGCTTCGATACCCAGAGTAAGATCTTCTTTCGCCTCATCACTAGCATTTGTCTTATCCCGAAGGTCCTATTCATTTAGCATCGGGTACTGCTATAGTACAGATAATCGCATACCTTTAATAAAAGAGGATATTTCACCAAACGTTGCATGGGTTTCAGAAGGAATCCATCCAAAGTATTGAAATCCACGACGACAGGATGATCTGCCATGGTAATTTTGTCAAAGTTATCCTTCGCTATTGTTGCAGCTTTTCGCTGATTCGCAATAAATGGTTGATATATGCCAAATGCTTCCTCATAGTTCCTAAAGGGTAGCCCCCATTCTTGTTTGTCTACGGGTTGAGAATTTGTAGTCTCAATTTTGATGAGAAATCGGCGTTGAAAGTCGAGGATCGCATTGATGTTAAGAAATATATCGTGTACGACATCGCCGGCAATAACACCCTTTTGCTCGATTGTTTTCTTTAGTTCGTGCAGATTCTCCAAATCTTGGACGTATTTGCGTTCTGTGTCGACTAGTTCCCGGACTACATGCTGCCTATAGCTCATCTTAGATCCGGGCGCAGTAGCAGACTCATTGGTATCCTCGGCTTGAGATGTGAGAAGCAAGCCACGCTGTCCCGCCACATCAAGAACGATATTGATAACTTGGGTGACCTGTGCAAAGTGGTAAGTGGGGGATCTCATGATTGAAATAACAAGAAGCGCAAATTGTCGCGGGCTCACTTGAGCTCTAGAAAGGGACGCAGAGCGTCACCAGATTTCATCCCTTAATACATCCTTTGATTCATGTGAAGATAGCATGTGCCGCGCTCCTCACTAAAAGTCATAGAATGCCCGCGTGCAAAAGCACAGTAGACATAGACGTACCTTCACGAAACCAGTCGTGTCATCACCAAAAAGATCTGATAGAGCAAAAACATCACCCGGGGGTATTTGCAAATCCTTCATACAAGCCTCAACAAATTTGAACGCTGCCATCTTAGACTTCTTTGGTTCGGCCATCTTGTTGTCGGGTAATGGCAGAGGCTCTGCTGGTTGTAGGGTATTGTAGAGCGTTACTAATGGCGTTCCCTTTCGCAGACATCGCCAAAGTGAGGACACAGGGTCCATATCCTCCTCGGCTTCATCTTCATCGTCTGAATCAACGAAATGGCCGTTGAATCCAGGAACTTGTGCTAGTCGCTGTCGTAAATTGACGCATATTTGATATAGTGATCTCGAGGCGTCGGCTCTTTGGTTGATGATATTGTTTGTCGCGATTACATTCCCGCCTTGTACTGGCATCGCCAGCGGGGCTGGAACCAGTGTCGCAGAAGTAGATAAAGAATTTAATGAAGTCGTAGAGGAAGTCGTAAAGGCAGTCGAGCCCGTGAGCTGCGACGATCGTGAATTATGGCTCATTGTTTGACTCAAACCGGATCCGTTGCCCTCGGCGCTTCGATTGTTGAATACAGGCGCTGTATTCGTTCTCAAAAGAGGTCCATGAGATTGAGACTGAGCCACACGAATGGCAACACCGCCAGATGACATGAAAGTTGAATGATCCAAATGATTGACGATGAATTAAATTGTGATAAGTTGTTTTAGAAAATATCCCGCTTTTCCGCTTTAAGGGGAAGAATAAAATGTATATTGGACAATGTGAATTGTAACCGGGTTGAACTGCAGGTGGCAGGTGGATGGGGGGGAGGTGGTCTGCTCGAGTCGAGTGCTACGGTGTGTGGTCCTGGTGGTCTTCTTTCGCAATACGTTTTCGTTGGAGGGTTGTTTCGGTGGGGAAGTGGATAAATTTGGGATTGTGGATGGATGGATTTCAAGTTTGTTGATTTGAATACATTTGATTGCGGGTCAACAAGGTATACACAAGAGCTTTAGTTACTGATTTGTACCGTTCTGCTTGATTTGTGTATGTGTATGTGTATGTGTATGTGTATGTGTATGTGTATGTGTATGTGTATGTGTATGTGTATGTGTATGTGTATGTGTATGTGAAATTGTGAATGGTGTATCGTGAGTCGTGGAATCGTGAATCATGTATCATGTACCATGTATCATGTATTCTTTTCCTCCTTTTTTTTTTTCTTTCTATATATTTTCTTTTCGATCTTGGGGGGAAGAGGGGACGCGTTGCTGGGTGGTAGTAAAGGTTTTGAAGGAGTCTGAGTCTAATGAAGGACGTATGTATGTATGAAGGTCGTGTGGAAGTGGATTCGAAATGGGTTGTATGGGTGTGTAAGAGAGGAAGTGTTTGATTTGAATCTTGTCTCAGGAGTGTTGCTTTGCCATGGATTAAGTTATGCGCTAAGTTGCTTAAACCAGAAGTTAACCACAACAATAAATAAGAGAGTTTTTGGGCAAGAGATGGATAAGGAAATGGAAGGGCTCGAGAAGGGTTAATGGAAGGAAGATTTAAAGATCTAGAAACGGCTGAGAAGTTACTAATTAGAGGAAGTGAACACTCCAGGTGATGGTCGATAGTAATCATAACGCTATTCATTCGCCAGTTCTTCATTCCCTCGTAGGTACCGGCGGCAAATATGTGCATACTCGTTGGATGTGATTGTTGGTAAATTGAGAACGAACCGCCAACATCAATCAGATAACGGCGAGAATGGTATTGATGTTATTAATGTTATTACGGAGTAGTATTGAAAAGACATATCAACATACCTACTATTTATTATATCCACCCATCTAGTATAGTATATACCTGGGTGGGTGAGTAGGTATCTTCTGAAACTGGATAATATTTCATCTTCTTCCTCATACACTTAACAAATAGAGTATACGAGTATACCAATTACCATTAAGATCTTACATTTCATAAATCATAAATCTAATATCCCAAATACCTACCTAGGTACTGATCCATTGCCTGTTACATATTATTACATGTTATTACCACCAGTACCTAGTACATGGTACAGCCAGCCATATGCTTCCCCTCCCCCCCTATCACATCATCTTAATTGAGCCTCCTTCCGTCCCTGCCTTATCGAATCTAAATTGAAATTTGGACTGTCATTCAATAGAATCTCAAACATACCTAGGTAATGTTTCAATGCGAGAGTTTTCACCACTTAATTGTATTTGATCATCAGATAAAGTTTCGTGCCTACCTAGATAGAGTACATAGAACATATGACGATTCTTTCTACCGTTCTACTCCCGCAGTATCGTTGACATCAACATCAATATCCGTACCGGTACTCCATCGGGTATCGGGTTGAGATATTTCGGCGACCTCTTCTTTCCTAGATGTACGTACTAAGTACCTGCGAGCCCAGACCGGTACTATGGGAAAGAGGCGATTTGCACTACATACCTACCTACCAAGTATTACTCCGCGTACAGTGATTTCTAGCGACGCCGTTACCGTTGCTAGGAATGAACGCTTCAACTCTATTTCCGCCGAGTTCTCAAAGGCGATGGATGCAAGTATTGACTTTCGTTGTACAACGCTACTAATAAGGCAGAGCAGACTAGAGGAATCCCTGGTAAAGTTAATGTTGGCAAATTGTAATATCTTACTTGCATACTCCGTGTACCTAGGTAGGTAGTAGGGTAGTAGGCACCTAGTCAATCAACTTAAACTGATGAGTCCTTAGAATCGCCAAAATCTTCCTATTATCATCCTTTAACCTTTCAATAGCGTACTCTCCCAAAGAGGCTTCTTTCTATCTTTCTTCCGTCCTGTTTTCCTTTGCCCTTTCCCCTTTGCCCTTTGCCCTTTTCCATCTTCCATCTTCCATCTTCCCTCGATGTGCATCTTATCGGTCGCCCCTCTTTCTTTACTCCATCTCACTTGATGACCAAAGGTGTAAACCCGGAATCCGAGCATGTCTACCGGTGAGTATGATCTAGGTGGGTACAAAGGTAGGTAGATAGACTCCGAACTCTAAGTATACTATCTCCGGGGTAAGATCGATCCTTCACTCCTTCTCTTTTCTCGCCTCACAGCTTCCCCATCAATAAAGGTCACTCATCATCATTATCATTCATCCCTCCATTTGTTCATCTATTTGACCGAAACTGACTCCGGCACATACCATCCACACACTTGGTCCTAGTCCAGGCTATCTAGTAAGCATATACAAAACCTAAAAGTACTACCAAGTATCCCGATTTCATCGAGACTCTCGCCTTCAGATCTCTCTCCGAACACTCAATAGAGATCTACCCGTACCTAGGACTTGTAAATGAGAATTGGCCAAAGACTACTACTTGGCGAATGAAATACAGCCATATGCCTGGGTAGGTATACAAAGCTGCAGGCATGTTTTGGAAGCTCTTGTTACGAACGAATCATTACCTAGATGCTCGTGACGAAATTCATCCTTATGTTATGGATCTTCTATGAATCTTATGTGAATCTTATGTGAATCTTATAAATCTTGATCTTGCCGAGAAATCAAATACTCCGCACTCCAGCTGCTATTTTGGTACCGTTCGAAGATCACCCTATTATTAAGCTTGTAAAATAGTCGGTCCCTTGGCCAGTAGTGAGAATTTGGGAATTTCCTTTTACGGAAGAAAGATGGCAAACCTTGGAACCTTGGAAGCCCTTTGAACTGTGATCAAGTTGTCTTGACTCCGCGTAGTCTTGGATTTCTCCAGCCTTGTTGCTCTAGCGTATTTCATCACATATCTACCAGGTACAGTCCATAGGTATCTTAGTCTGCGTGTGATCCGTGCCGGAACCCAATGTGCATACAGCGTACCATCAACATCTCGATTGTAAACAAAAAAAAACATAGGTAGTTACTACGACATTCTTTGATTTTAAAAATAAATTCATATATGATATAATTTGATTAGAGGCTCACATTCCTCGAGTTCACGTTTTAATATATCCTCAAAATTTCAAGTCAAATATACGAAATCATCATTCGACGTCTGAAGTTCCCAGATCCCCCGGTTCCTAGGTTCCAAGTCACTGCATCATGTCCAACTCTCTTCGGAGGTCTCCTCTTGATGAAGGGTATAGCGAACATCCTTTGACTGTCGTTAATCAACCAAAATTCGAGGGGTTGCCTTCATGGCTTGCAGAGTTGTCTACCGAAGATCGCGCAGGTAAGGAACAATCGCATCGTCATTCTGTTCAACTCATTTCTACTTTCTCATGGGATGCTCGATGCTTTCTGTCTCTCACAACTAACCCTTTCCAGATTGCATTTTAGATATCATGAGTAAATTGCCAACGTCAGAAGTGTGGGATATAGTTGGGCGACTTAAACCACGGCTCAAAATGGATTTCTCCCTCCACTTACCCTCAGAGATATGTTTGAGGATTCTCGGCTTCCTTGATCCAGTATCACTAATCCGAACCGCCCGCGCCTCGCGACATTGGCAAGTTTTATGCTTCGATCGAAAATTATGGGAGCAATTGTATACACGAGATGGGTTTAGAGTTATTCGCTCGGAAGTTATGAAGTTCGAGTTCCCCAACAGACAATCACGATGGTGGAGTCCACAGACTAGCTTCGAGCTCAATCCTTCAGTTGAGCGCAGAACGAGGGGCAATATACAACAGATATTACCAAACCCGGATGGCGATGATGATAATCGAGGATCGAATATGATGAAACAGACTTCAATATTTGGTCCCGCAAGCACAAGGGACATGAGACAGAGTCCCCTTGCTGAAGACTCGATCATGATTGATGCACCAATGTTATCGGCTGATAGTGATAGAGACCGGACATCATTTTCTGGCACAGATGGGGGTGTTGCCAAATGGAAAGGAAAGGGAGTTTCGCTTCCCAGACAAGGAAATGAACTAGCGATTGTGGATCGAAGTAGTGGAGAAGAGAAACTCAATTGGCATTATCTCTATACACAGAGAAGACGCCTAGAAGCGAATTGGGAAGCTGGCAAATTTACCAACTTTCAGTTGCCACACCCTCACTATCCGGAGGAAGGTCACACAGAATGTATCTACACCATTCAGCACACTCAAAATTATCTAGTCAGTGGTAGCCGTGATAAAACTATACGAATCTGGAACTTAGACACAAGACGTCTTGCTCTTCCCCCATTGGCAGAACATGGGGGTTCTGTACTCTGTCTCCAGTTCGATCCAGATCCCGAAGAGGATATAGTTGTTTCTGGTAGCAGTGATGCTACCGTCATTATCTGGCGATTTTCGACAGGTAAAGTAATACAGCGATTAACATCGGCACATAGAGAATCGGTCTTGAATGTCAAATTTGACAAAAATGTGCTGGTCACCTGTTCGAAAGACAAAACCATCAAAGTGTTTAATCGACGATCTATCAGCGAGCAAAGCCTCATGAATGATACAGCTTCGATTCAAATACAAAACCTTGGCTTCGAAAACAACCCAGTAGGATGGAGGATCATACCACCATATACGAATATTAGCAAGTTAAAGGGTCACGGAGCGGCTGTTAATGCCGTTCAAGTGTTGGGCGATGAAGTCGTGTCTGCTTCTGGTGATCGAACAGTAAAAATCTGGAACTGGAGAAAGAGCACTTGCACTCGAACTCTGATTGGGCATAGTAAGGGAATTGCATGTGTTCAATACGATGGGCGTCGGATAGTGAGCGGCAGCAGTGATAATGAGGTCAAAGTCTTCGACAGAGAATCCGGTCTCGAAGTAGCCAGCCTCAGAGGACATACTAACCTAGTAAGAACCGTACAAGCCGGGTTTGGCGATTTGCCATACAGTGCAGAAGAAGAAAAAGCGGATGCAAAGAGAATTGATAGGGAATATTTCAAGGCTGTGAATGGTGGGGTTGTCGATCAAACTTATCAATCAAGTCGCCTCAAGAATGCCGGATCCTCAAGACCAGAAGACATCACTGCTTTTGGTGCTAAGTTACCACCAGGCGGAGGAGGCTGTAAGTACAGCCGTATAGTCTCTGGATCTTATGACGAGTCGATTCATATATGGCGGAGGGATAAAGAAGGTGTCTGGAAGCCTCAACATACCCTTCGACAAGAAGAAGGGTCCCGGGCTGCAATTAGAATGTGGGCCAGAACACCTCGAAAACCCAACACGAACCCAGCATGGCTAATGAGGGCCACTTCAAAGGCGTCCGAATCATCAAACAATGAGGAACCGTTACCTGATATGTCAAAACTTTCTCCAGAAATCCGGATTGAAAGAGCGATCGCTTCTGGTGCAAACGGCCTACTTGAGACACTCAATAAGTACCCAGAATTATTGAATAATGAATATTTGAGACTTGCCATCGCTCGTTCACCAGAGCACACAAGAAACTTGATGAGTCAAGTCCTCATTGCAGCTTTACAGGCGAAAGGCTACGATACACGTGATTTGTATGCTTCATTACAGAACGATGCATTCACGACTGCAGTACCATCGGTACCAAATCTTCCGGGGATATCCAATGTTGGAGTAACTCTAACTGGTCCTGCTCATCACCCGATACAAAATCCACATCCACAGCATGCTCGTGTATTCAAACTTCAATTTGATGCTCGGAGAATCATTTGCTGTAGCCAAACACCCACGATTGTTGGATGGGATTTTGCGAATGGTGATGAAGATATTATTGAAGCAAGTCGATTCTTTGCTCCTATGGAGTAGTGTAAAGAAAGCACTCTTAGGGTGCAATTGCGGCATTGCAAATAAGGCGTAGAGGGATTGGAAGCATACATATGGGGAACGGATTGGATCTGGGCGTTTCATAGGATGCGGTAGGTAAATGACTATAATGTATGGATGATAATTTTAACGAGGCATCGAATTTCATGGGATCGGCGTTGCATTTAACATAAAGCATTGAAACTATGTATGCATTGGGGATGACGAGACTTCTCATCTTAGGGCGGTAGAGTCGGGTGTCTTAAATTGTCCGGATATAAATCATGCTATGTATATTATCGACATTGAACAAAGATAACTTTATTTTGTATACTCGATATCTATCCTGTTGGTTAAGAATGGAAATTTTATCCCTTTTTTCGGTATTTGAGTTTGTCTGGTTCATGCTGTGCAGTGTGGGGCGGTGGGAACTTGAGAGAGTATCATGATATGATATGATGTGATTCATAGTGGATAGGGAGTGATCACCTAGGTATGATGTTAAGTAGTTCTGATTTGGAATGATGATTGATTGAGTGATTCGCTTTGGATTTGTATATCTGGTTCGAGGTATCTTCTTTCTCCTCGTGTAATACAGTATAGTATAGTATGATACTAAATGTATATATCTCTACCTAGGTAGTCTTTGCGTAGGTTTATCAAGACTGGTTATGGAGTTATAGTGGATTGTTGAACTTATTGAGGTTTGGGGTTTGGGGTTTGGGGTTTAATGGGAGAAGGGGGGGAGAGGAGGGGGGTGGAGGGGAGCGGAAGTTGTGTCGTTTGTGTTTGTGGGTTGTTTTTGGAGAGGAGTTGTGGTTATTGTAGATTGTCGGTAGGTGTTTTCGATGTATAGTCTGGATAGATACTTGGAACTGATGGGTTTGTGGATTTGGCTGGGTGATGTTATGATATCGAGCTAGGATGGAGTAGAAGCTTGGAGGTGTGGAGAGTAAAGAGCGGAGAGGAGAGATGGGGAGATGAGTTACATTATTGTTGGGTTTAGTTATGTACAATTTGAGTCTTTGGTGTAAAAGTATCAAGGTATTCGTAATTATATTCTGAATACGTGTTGGAGATTATCTTGTTTCTCTGCTTGTCTGTAACATCTTAGATTTGGTTCATGTTCGGTCCTCTACGAATTGTAGTTATGGATCATAGACATTATGCATATCTCTATTTGTATCTTTGTCTATAACCTTGAATAATTTCAATTTTTCCCTTCTTTCTATATTTGCATGGGACTTATATCGATATCGTAAAAATGCTAATTTGACTTCTTCCTATTCTAAGCCCTCATCCTGTCCCTTGAGAGACCTCCCTCTAGATCCAATATCAACTTTCGATGCAGATACTTGACTTCCCTCAAACTCCTCATCACACTCCTTCACATAGAAATAATTTAATCCCATATCTATTTAATGACTCCTGTTTCCAATTGATAATTTTCAGAAGTTAAGAATCTCAAGTTTATTCCATCACCTCTTGAGAGATTCAAATTTTGTTATCGCTCAGGTCGTGCTGTCATTATACTTCCACCCAATCTAGACGTTGAAGGGTCTTTGTCAGATGCACTCTGATGATGGGCAGGAGATTCTCACTACCCCTCCTGATAGTTAAAGATACCAATTAGCTTAGTTATGGCCGTTTTGAAAAAAGAAACTAAGAGATAGAACAATCTTTGAAAAGTCGTTTGATAATCCAAAGTCTCAAGTTCCTGGCTGGAGACAACGTCTAGTGCTGGGTTCTATCAAAATGATAGCCCGTATCTTTTGGATACCGTAACACTGAACATATGTAATTTATCATCACGAAAGATATTATGATAGCATGTAATATGAAATTCATGAAAAGAAACCACTTTTGCGATATTTCAACCTACAAAATCTCTCCTCCAGCGCCCATCCTTTCATCATCATCCAATATAAGCTTGTTAAAGTATCGTCGTATGCGAAGAATAACGAGTAGCATAAATACCATTAAATCGGCCCAGAGCAAAGTGCCAAGCAGCCATTCTTCCCATATAACATTTGAAAAGATGAATCGTGTTAAGGGTAAGATATGCTTATTTCCCCATTCGATTTGTCTGGGAGAAAACTGAGATTTTCTGAGTGTATATCCATAGGGAGACCTGGACTTGTAATTCCAGCTTTTGGAATGAGTGATCGTTAGATAGATGATCTCGGTTGAAGTATCAGGATGATTTGTTGGTACGGTGCACAACTATTTCTTCATGCATTAGCGAGAAAGGTGAGATGGATGGGGAATAGTGGATGCTTCATATGGCTCGCGTACGAGAAGAGCTATTAATAGTGAAGGAGCAAAAGAGAAGAGAAGCAAGAAATGACATATCCGTACAGCTGTAAGATCATCTTTTTGGCGGTGACTGACTTGGGATGAGACATAATCTGGTTCGTTGGTGTGAACTGTGATATTTGAATCAACCTTGAGTTTTTCAGATGAGAATTGAAGTGGAGCTTCGGCTTCGGCTTCTACAAGACGTTCGTTACAGATTATGACTTGCTTCTCGTCGTTAAAAACCGGTAGTTGATATTTCGTCATTGTAATAAATGACCTCGAGTTTTTCTCACTGGCTTGCGTATTGAGAAATGGGATCAACGGGGAAATTGAGATGCTAGATGCTAGATGCTCCAAAAGGATTTTTGAAGAGATTCTTTTGCAGGAAGTCAAAGTTTGGGATTGGGACAGATTCTATAATGATGATCTGGGATTAATTAGCTCGAGACTAGATAGTTGGACTAATTGGTCAGGGTGAAGAGTTTAGTGGTTGGAATTCTCGTGGTCTGGTGACCTGTAACGCGTAAAATCGTAGAGTCTGTCTTCTTGTATAGGTTCTTCTAGCCATGAAGCTATGTATTGTCCACAACTTTGAGTTACTTAGTCTGGGACAAAGACTTATGATAGTTTGTGATTTTGTAGGAAAAGTTAGAATTGGGTTTGAGTCGATGATGGAGTTATGTGATGTGAGATCGCGGAGCGAATGACGCTCGATAATCCAATCTAGTAACATGCAGAGCTAGCAATGGATCTTCTTCCTTTTAGAAGCTTATTAGGGCCTTGTTGGGATTTCCCTTGTAGTTTTAGGTTTTAGATGTGCAACAAATGCTCTTAAAGAGTATTAACAGATATTATCTGGGATACAAGTGATGTTAAGAGGTCATTAAGATGACATTTTAAGTTTAGTTTGGAATTTGTTCAGCCATTCTCTCAAAGCAAACCGTCTTATGTATGAATCTTGAAATAGGATCTTGGGTATGAAAAGTTATTGAAGATTTTATACCGAGTGATAGAATTCTGGATATAGTTCTGGCTCAAACACCAGGGTTAGATGTTGGAATTAGTTTGATCACTCTATCCCTTTTAGCACATTGAAACTTTTGTAATCGAAGGTTTTTGCAGCAATGTAAGTAATTGGATGAATTTGCTACAATTTAACCATTATATAAATGTAAGTAACTTTTGTGAAAGAAAATCCCAACAAACTTTTGGTACAGCGCAGAAATTTTACCAGCACTGCAACCCTTTCTCACTCAACCTCAATTCCAAGAGCTCCTGTGATGATTGGAAGATCCTCAGTTTCCACATCGCATCTGACTTAGAGAGCTGGGGTGTCAGCAAACCATTTGAGGAAAGCCTCAATCTTAGCAAGCGATGCTGCAACGGCAATCATACCATACTCAGCTCCAACTTTGAAAGCCTCTCTCCTTGTGGAAGAATTAGGCTCCCAAGTGGCAGGCAAAGTACCATTGTTATAAGAGTCTCCAGAGTTTGGATCAGTCGTCTTGACGAAGTTGGCCCAATAACTGCTCAACACATTGGAAACATAATAATCCTCAGCAGTGTAGTTAACACCAGATTGAGCCCAGAGATTTCCCAATGCATAAAAAACCTCACTACCATGGGATGCAGTTCCAACATCGGGTGGGTGGTAGTTCCAAAAATATGTGTAGCCATCGACACCACCGGAGGAGTTGGTATATCCGTTCATCCATTGCCAGCAGGGGACAGTACTTTGGTCACGAACAAGCGCAGTTTCAGAAAGCGACGCTTGGGTATCGTTTCCGGCAGGATAAAGACTTAGGAACTCATCAGCATAATCGCCATAATTACCGGCGACATAATCCTTATAATCGGCGGTGGTGGTTGTGAAGGTGTCGGATACACCATATTCATCTGAATTTCCTCCAGTGATATATGGAACGGGGTTTCCGGCTCCGTCGTGGAGTGTTTCGATGTATTTCTCGGGGATGGCATAGTAATCAAGTACAGGCTTAACTTGTTGATCTTGAGCTCCAGTGTTCGCAATAATGGTTTCATAAGTAAGTGCTCTGGCTTCTTCGACAGTTGTGACATTGAGAGCCTCAAAAACTTCGGCTCCAAGAACTTCAGCAGCGGTTTGATTGATGTATGAGAGCGCAATGTAGCTGGTATAAACATCGTTTGGTGAACATACACCAGACTCGGATATAGCACTTACAATACCATTGTCGGCTGTGAGGTTACTGTTGACAATGTGGTAGGTAGCGGCTGATCCGAAAGATTGTCCCATTACGGTAATGTGATTTGGATCACCTCCAAAGGCGGCAATGTTCTCGTGGACCCATTTGATGGCGAGGAATTGGTCAAGAACTCCCCAATTGCCGGTGGAATTACTACCTGCAGAGCTGTTGCCAGATTCTTCAGTGAGACGGGAGTCAGCTAAAAATCCCAACACACCGTTTCGGTACTATTTAAGATTAAAAAATTAGCTCTGCTCTTCAATTCATGGCTTTTGAATACGAGTTGAATTTATCGATCTTTTGAAGAACTCGAGCCACAAACATTCGTATAGGATTGATAAATCAAAGAATGAAAATGACTTACGTTGTAGGTGACAAAAACAACACCCTTTCCAGCCATACCTCCCCCATTGAACTGAGACTGAGGAGGTGCGGTTCCATCTCCATAACTCCAAAAAGCAAGAGGCAACTTCTCATCGCTGGAAGTAGCAGGAGTCCAAATATTAATAGACAAACAATCCTCACTCATATCATATTGAGTGAGAGCCATGTTGGACGTAGGACAAATTGGGCCAAAGTCCGAAGCATCGAGTGTACCATTCCACGGAGATGCAGGTTTTGGTGGAGCCCAGCGATTTACTCCGCCAGTAGAAGCACCGAAGGGGATTCCACCAAAGAAGGACACGTCGGCCCAATTTGGAACATAGGCGGCAACGGAGCTGTTGAGTGCGGCTTTTCCTTGCACTGTTCCCCAATTGGGAATAGTGAGAGGGGATTCATAAAGAGGGGATGCTGCTGCAAGGCTAGCTGCCAGTGGTAGGTAGGAAGATGAAGAGCGCATCTTGCCTTGGTTTTTTGAAATGAATGTAGAGTTTGTGTTTGATGATACATGTTTTCCATGCCAATGGCTCCAAACTTATATTCTACATCGCAAAAACTCAACTGGGACCATGACTACACGCCGCGCAATCTCAATTTCAGCACAACGGGGATTGAGCCTCACAGCCAACAGTATGACGAAACGTATCACTATAAACTATGGCTGGGAAGCATGATTCGCAATACTTATATTGTCCATTCGTACACCTCATCCACAAAGAGAGAGCAAACCAGCACTACCGGAGCTTGTGGATAGCTCCGTGGACATTTGCCATATTTTGGTTAGACTGAAGTGTATGTATTGATGACCCTCTTCATTTCATCTGTTTTTTATCAATAAGAGGAAAAGATCCGTTCTAAAAAGGTTCACTTACCATTTCTTCATCTACATACCCTGTGTAAATCTATGCTAAGCCGGCACTAGTGCTGATCATCCATTGCGTATTCGCATCAGGCTCACTCCTGATGGAAATTCGGCACTCGCTTCATGAAGCTAGACGGCTTGTGCATTGACTTCCCCCCATAATCGTGAAAGGTATGAGATTCATTCAATTATCTAACTATTTAAGTACCTGCGAATTTGATTGGTCCATGTAGAGAAATCACAAGGTAGAGTCCTTCAACGAGGTGTCTAAGCCTTGAACGTCTTGTGCTACTCCCATATCCTTGAAATATGCTTTAAATTCACTGACACCAGCTACTTTTAGTCATCCGATATAACTGATGTTCGTGAAGGCTTAAGGTTTATCGTCAATATCAGTCTTCTCTTCGACTTGCCGTTCTTGAATATAGAATGAGACTTGATTAAACCCAAAAATGATTTTTCTAATAAATTTTCTTGAGAGCCGTCCAATGATATATTGAACTATCCGATCTATAATTTTTTTTTAAAAACATCAACTCAAATTAAACAATAACGGGTCACCATTTCATACCTACTTACTACACATACCAATATAATCTACAGCTTACCCAATCCAACTATAACATCCAACTCGCCGATTGCAAGAACTGCACATCAATTCCCTTATAGATACTTCTGAATCCTTGCAGCTTTCGTCGAAAGGTGATATCGGAGCTTTCACCTTGCCGTAAGTCCGATTTTAGACAGTGTATCAAACAAATTCTGGCTGGAATCATGGGCAATTTAGACATATCAATGCAGTTTGGAATTGTTGATGAAAGGTCTTATTGTACCGGTGTATCATGGTATCATGGTATTCTGGAAGTTTGAGGGCCTCTAATATTTTCAGGGTAACTATGCAGGTTGAATGCAACATTGGCATAGTCATGCCGGTTGTTCAAGATTAGATTAAACTAAGGAAATTTTTGCTAGTTTGGCACAAGTTCAGGGTTGCATTGGAAAGATTGAATAGTTGCTGAGCTCATCTAGGGCTTCCTAGTAACTCATGTAGATTAATTGTTAACTGAATACACTAGTTATACTACATGAAACTTTTCATGCCCACAGTCCTCGGCCGATTGTTGTACACTCTAAAGTTTCAGACGAGACCAATCTCGAGCCTCAGATACTATGAACGAGATCAACGCGAATGCCATTATAGTGAAGAACCAGAACATGCACAATATCAAAATAGTCATGAGCAGATACTGAGGATCTTTCCACGTACTACCCCTGAACTCATTCAATAAGATTTTAACATAGCTGTTCTCCATCATTTCATCCTTGTCATCCTCGTTATCTTCTCGTAACCAGACTGATGAAATTTCCCCTTTTTCTTCGTCGCTCGTATCCCCAATTATCATGACGTCTTTTTGAATATTCAATTTTTGACCTACTCCTTCTGTCACATTCAACCTAAATCCATATCTCTTGTTGCGTAGGCAGTTAAGGCTTGATGCGCATCCATACAGAATGCCTATCATGAGCAATAATGCAAGAAAACTTCCACGGAAGTAGATTATAACCATAGCTAGACTAATCCAGCCGGCATACGTTTGATACATCCATGTTACATCTTTGCAGCCCGAATCTAGGAGATTGTGAGTATGTGGACCAGCACCGTCGATGAAGACACATAGCCATAGTGGCAGATTCAAATGTTCGAAATCAACGGGACCAAGATGTGTGATGTTTTGCAACATGGGCATTGGATTTGAGCTAGGCAACTGGGCGAATGGCGTCTTGATCAATACCTTGAGATTCTGGTTAGACATTTTTGATACGATACAACTTTTGGAAGGAGAACTTTCCCGAATGTATGAGCTAGGAAGAGAAAATGCTTACAATAGTCAAAAGTAAACACGGGACAAAGCAGACCAGAAGACTTGACATGACGCCTATCCACTGGAAACATCGTATTAACGGTGTTTTGAATAATTTCTCCCGACATTTCTCGCACATCTTGGAAGGAAAAGTTGACCGGCTATGATTTGCTGCGAAGATCGAAGTCCAATCACTTTGTTAATTTGGCTGACTTGGGAAGAATTCTCCTCGTGGTAGTTGTTGTGAAACAAAAGCTTCCGCATGTGTAAGCGGATGTTGGAAGAATGCAGAGTCAAAGACTGGAGATAGGCAGCATCATAAAAAGAAAACCGTGGGTTGGTTGGAAGAAACGGAAGGATGTATACACAGTCCGCGCCTTCCTCAAGCAGCACCCAATGCATGTAAACTAGCGGAAAATCAAGTTTCTTCTGAATACTGAATCCTAGAGATAGAAGGTGCATCAATCTAGTCTAAAAGCGCAGCATAAAAACCTTTTCGTCATGGACTTAACGATGATACTATCAGTCCTGTTGATCAACAATATGACTGGTAATAAGCTTCGACATGCAAGTGAGTATTAGGGGTTTATGCTCAACGATGATCAATTTTTAATCATAAACTACAATGCCGGATAATTCCTAGAGATTGCGTCTATAAAATTTACAAGACACTTTCGAAGATAGAGGATTTCAATTTGAAAAGAGGAAGGAATGGGAGATTGACTATCCTTTGCTTTCCTTACGAGCAGAGATCAATTATCTATCACTAGCCTTGCTTTCCATGATAGATCTCTTGATCCATGCTAAAGTTGACATTGATCACGAAGTATAATGGAACAGCTCGCACCAATCATACAAAAAAATATTTGTCCCCAAATTTGAGATACTCTGGGCATGGTATAAATCCTGAGTATTTCATACAAAATTTATTGAAAAATCATGGAGGCTCTGTAATATATCATTTATTTGTAGGGATCTCTAAATTTTTTTAATTAATATCTAGAGAAAACAAAATAGACTACATACAATTGTAGATCTAGAGCTAACCTTCATCAGAAAGGTGGGAATATATACCAGGAGCAGTATACTAGAAAGTCAGCGTGTCTGAAATCGAAGGAACCAATATGTGCTATTCCTGCTAAAGGTGTCTTTGATATGTCTTCATTTGGATTTAATTCCTTTATTACCTTTGCATTCGACTATTATAATAGAGTCAGTATTATGATATTGCGGGACTTGATAATTACGGAAAGCTGTGATGATTATTCAGGTGGGACGCAGGATACATACCACAGTCGTCACCACGAGTGGAAAAAAAATCATGACCACAGTAAAGGTGAGATATATCCATCCAAGCCACGGAAGACAAAGATAGGTAGGGTTCCAAATATACGCAATTCTCTTGTTACTTTTGCACTTCTCACATATCTCTCCTTCCAGGTCCGAAGATGTGACTTCTTCGGACTCGGATGCTGGCCTTAATGTTCCGTCCGATGAATTTCTTGGGATGTTCTCTTCAAGATCCCATGGACTTTCGAGATTCTGTCCTTGTGTAATCCCATACTTCATGGGAGAAGAATCGAGTCTTGATTTTTCGTCGTACTCCTCGTATCCCTCAGAGGGAAATCGAGGATCCAAGGTCGTTTTCATATTTGATTTTGAAATGCGAGTTCGGAGTAGAGGTGGGTCTCGAATTTTTGATATTATGCTGGAATAATTCTCAGCTGTTGAGTGTCGAATTGAACAGGAATGTAAGGAATTATAAGTGCAGTGTGATGACACGAATCCCATAAAGTAGATTTTAGCGAAGAATTTCCTAGCGAGTTTGCTAATCACTAGCGAGGCGACGGAGCCAAGATCATCAATACCGAGCCAGGCTGTCCTCTCAACATCATCACGATCGTCAGTATTGGACGAACAACGAATTTAGTCAATTGATAGAAGTCGTCAAAGGAACTTATTTAAGGAAATATAATGGTAAGATGTATGTTTCCTATAGAATTATGTGCTTGCTGCTTAACGCTAAGTCTGGCTCTAAAGCCCGAGTAGTTCGTCATTTTGGGTGATCTATGTGTGTTGGAATGGCTTCGCAAGTTTCTTCCGATAATTTTATGAAAAAACTTCTTCAGCCAGCAATCAGACACCAGAGGATAAAATGAAGGCAGAACACCTTTTCAGCGAGAATTAGTAAGTAAAATTGACTATTGATGTCATATACGATTATCCTTAGATTCATTAGGTACTGGTATCGAAAGATGACCACTGTGAGATTTAGTTCGAGGTGGGGTAATTCCAGAAACCAAGTCTGGAGAACACAAATGTGGTGACTTGCAATTCCGGCGAGTTTCGAGGACTGGGTGTGTTTTGTTGCACATCTATTGAAGGTGCAGGGATTTGACTGATGTTTGCATGTCGAGTTGCGAGTGAACTAGACGGGAGTTCCGCAAGAAATAAGCAGTGTCATTTATATCTCTCACTATCCAGATACATCACATAATTTTTGTCCAACACTTATCATCTTTCAAAATATATTTTCTGTTGCCCTGGCAATCTGAGTGGAAGTATGGTGTGCAGTAGGAAATGAAAATTATGGAATGCGATGTACTCGCAATTCGGATATGGAGTTCGTATATCAGGTTACTTCGAATTATTCTCATATTTGCTAGTAATAGCAGGCATCGAATGATAGTCGGTTATGTTATTGTTATGGAATTTGGAGGGTCACGGTCATTTAAGGGGACTACGATAATAATCCCAAGATCTAAATTCTGAACTAAAAGAGATGATTGTAAATATCAATAGATCAAAGATTCAATTGTATGCACGACTCAATTGATTGTTGCGTGAGCGGAGGCTCGTTGCTCTTATTAATAAGAAAAACTCAACCCATGAATCATCTTTTGAACTCCTAGACGGGCGATAGAATAGACAACACCAATTAGTTGATTCAAATTTTAATTTTCATGTCATACTTACGATGATATGTAAATTGGTTCAATGAATTGATGGTTAAGTAGAGAATTCCATAGTAGATGTTCTTCCCCACATAACTCAACCGTTCATTCGAATACCAGAATCCCCCTTTTCCCTGTAACATTTTCGCTTAAAACAGTCGCCCAAATTCTTTTTTCCCTAGTGACGGAATGTAGATATGATGTTGAAGAGTTAGGAATCCGTTGTGAAAATTTTAGTTATAGACGGATGCTTACATTGATTTTGAGATCTATCGTTTGGAAGTCTTCTGTATATTGGGGTGGGGGCAGATAATCATCGTAGTCGTTTCCAAACTTCCGTCAGTTTAACGCGGTATTGATGTGAAGTATTTGTTGTACTAATTGAAGGTCAGTTGAGCGCCTGTAGAATTCGAAGACGTTAGTTATTTCAAACTCGGAATCTCTTACAAATTTTTAATGGATGTCAAGGCATTTGTGCAAAACACATTCTGCGTGCTAATAACCTCGGAGACCATAATCTTATCTCTCAGAGTATATCTATAAGAAAAATAATCAGCAGTTGTTCTTGCCTCGTTGAAAAGAGAATCTTGAAGTTAAATGTGGTTGTGGTGTTTCCGATCTCCCCGTCCCGGTCCCTCGCTCCTGCCATTTCAAAATCAAATCGTGAGCAAAGTTCAAACTAGTCAATTGCACCCTCACTTAAGGAAACCACAACCACAAAAAGTCGTACGAGCGAGATAACAGATACCTTAGTATCCTCCACTTGGCTTTTCTGTCAATAACTTTTCACTTCCTCTTCTTCTTCATACTCTTCACATCAATTTAACACACATCGTCAACAAACTTCTAACATCCAAAACCCCTTTTCATTCTTCCTTCATCAATTCTTCATCATTAAACAAGACATATTCTCAACATGGCTCAGATTATTCGTGACACATGGTCTATTTCTTCATCATAGCTCATTGAAATACGGTCTTCCCAACATAACTGTCAATAAACCCTGATCTCGAAGTTTCAATTCTCAAAGACCTCTCTGCAGAAAAAGGTTCAAAAGTTCCCACAAACTCCCAACTGGGAAAATCCCAATTGAGGTACGTTGATTCCAGTTATTGATACCGGTCTACACTTGAAGCTTCAATCCTCAATGTGTTCCCATACATATCCCCCAAACCCCCCAAATAAGCCCCAGTGGGGAAAAGCACATGGATTCTTTTTACGGATCTCACAACACTGTCTCAATATCTTCCCACGAGATTTCAGTTCTCGATAGGCTCCCAGCAGACCCCAAAACCCCCAAAGCCCCAAAAAACAAGCCCCAGTTGAACAAAGCACATTGATTCTTATCACGGATCTCAGAAAATTGTCTCACAACAAGCTACCCACGAGATTTCAATTCTCGGAGGGTTCCCAGAAGATCCAAGAATAAATTGCCTCAGGCAACTTAGGGCCAGACTTCTCCCATGTCTGTGTCCGAAAGTTAGAGCCATCGGGATTGGACCCGGTGGTTTGTGCTTGAAGGCTACATTTTAAACAAAATTGTTATGCTCTATTGTCCCTGTTTACACACTTTATGATGCCCATGATAACCTCTTAGGAGCTCTAGTAATACGACGCCCACCAAACCCTTACCTCGAGATTCCAGTTCTCGCAGGGGTTTTTATCGTTCAAAGTACGGACGGCGGTCCACGCTTGAGATTTCGACTATTCAAGAACAAACAACCATTCAGCAACCTCAGGCCTTGACTCATTACACTATGTCAGTGCTCGCAAATGGAAGTATCTGGGACTACTTGGAACTGATCTGCTAAGGTACACTTCTCAAATCTTCAATCTGACGATAGCTAACTGAGCTCAGAGAAATCATCATTGCTCCGCAAAACCTACAGTCAAACTGTGTGAGCTTGACAACTCTTCAGAGTTTTAAAGAACACAGTAAAGTAAGTTGGTCCTCCCTTGCTTTCTGCCTTCTGCCTTCTGCCGTCTCAAAATGCTTCAAAAATTTGTGATTATGCCATAGCCGCTTATGGAGGGGTTGTTCGACTTGAACTGTACGTACACGATAGCTAACAATTGATGAAAAGCAATTACGCAATCTCGATCCTCCCAACGTGTATCGACAGGGCAGAGACTTAGTGCCAGTCTTGTTAATTGTCGAATTTTTATGGACATTGCCGGTCTTCAAGGAGTCACCTTGCTAACTGTCTCTCACCCACCAGTGCTTCTCAGGTGTGCACAACAGCAGATATATGGTAAGATTGTTCCACCCTCTCTTTCAATTGCTGCGAAACTAAATATTGTCGTGGCAGAAATGTTTCAATCATTGCATCCGACCGATTCACAAAGCTCAGTGCAAATCCTACTTCCCTATCATTGGTGCGAAACTCTCATTATCTGCCACTGGCGACTTCTTTGAGAACGAAGGCAACTTTTTGGAGGGCTGAACGATAACAATAAAAGAGGCAAAAACAATGGCAAATATTACTAGAAAGAACAGGAACGGTGTGAGAAAAATTTCGACTCGGCTCGGATAGAACAATATGCAGATATGACCAATTCAACTGTACTTACATGCTTCTCCAAATTTGATCCTTCTTGATATCACACCATACTAGCAATACCATTTTGCAAAGAATATGAAAATGATACAAGAAAACAGAGAGGTAAAGGTTCCTTATATAGGAAAAGTTACCGGCAGCTTGGCATCATTTTTGGCTACTTTGTTAGTGAATTCACTATGTTGGTTCGTGCCAAAATATCCTAATCGTGATTGGTCGAGCTTACTTGGGACAAAATTCATTTACAAGCCATGATGTCGTGGAATACACTACGATAAGGACAGTTGTAAAATGTCATGAGGACACATATATAAGATGCTACTATTACAATAGAAATAGGCATCATTTAGTGTTCCCATTAAGCCTTGGTGTGGAGTAAAGAACAGATAGAATGAGCAAATAAAATCATGTATCACAACTGGTAGATGATATAAGTACATCAAACACACGCAGGGGGGAAATATATTAGATAATCGAAAAGTTGTAAGATCAAGAAAGTATGAGGAAATCTTTCCCATGGTTCTTATTGGGTGAATTCATTGGTATTGAGAAAACGGGCCGCTGATCATGAGATCTTACATACTTAGGTATTTATAGTTGTGGCTAGTGAACTCTGGAAGTGAAACGTGTAGTGTGTAATTAGGTCAGAGGTAGCGAGTAGGTTCATGTTTGACTTGCGTAGTTGGGATGTAAAATTATGAACTATTGCCTCTATGGAATGTACGCGATAGATGTAGTGGTCGACTATGAAGCTATGGCTATGATGCCGTTTCTTTGATATAGTAGGTAAATTGTGGGTTGTGGGGTACTTGGTCAAGTATTGGTACTGGACAGGAATAAGAGAAACTTTTGCAGCGAAATTATGCTCTTCTTCTATTCTCGGTTACGTTTGAGTGAAATATGAGTGAGGCCGGGGGTGCCAATAGATGGTCATGAGCAAACAGGGCAAACAGGATGAAGACTTGGTGAAGTGTATATGTATATATGTATATATGTAGTTATATTCTTGATCTTCAGATGCATTTGTGGAGATTGTGATCATAGGTTAACCGAAGAGAAACAAAGTCCATCATGATGACTAATTAGATCATGTGTTTACCCCACCCGATCTACAAGAATCTGGGGAAGGTTCGCCGCCACATCTGAATTTGAGTTTTATCTCCGATGGGATTTTGAAAAACCATATGTGTACTCACAACCAGAATGCCGGTGCTCTTGCCGGTACTCTAGTGCATTAGGTATCATTTGAGCTTCTTTATTCGTACTCGTATTCTTTTGCTATGTGCACCTATTGAAGTTGCATGGTGTTTACCTCGATTGCTATGCATTCGCCATGTCGGAAACGTGTGGTGGATGGGAATTGTAATTACGATCTGGAAGGCTCTTCTTTTCATGGGGACTTCGCCTTCCTTTTGCCACCATTGGAGGAGAAGTGTGGATCAATTTCACGAGCACATCACTCAGTTATGATTCTATCTTAGATGAAGGCGAGGTATCTCCTGTGTATATCCCGAATTTGCGGGTTGCTTCTCATTAGAAACTTCTTTGCTTAGAAAAAGACAATGCGCTGACGAATTTGTAAGTTGGCCACCGTTGAGGAACACTGCTTCGAGACTGCGTTATTCAATATAGCTCAGTTCCAAGATATAGAGGCGTCAATGTGCATATTAAAAATGATCGAAGATCTGGCAGATTATGTAACTCTTGTTTGGAAATCAAAAGGTTCTCGATCGTTGGTATCACGGTGATACCTCATCACTAGCGGCTAATGTCTCCGCATTCCATGAATCGGAAGCAAGCGTCAACGCTAAAAGCATCATTTTGCTTGGTCTCAATTCCAATTAAGTTGTTCAACCAATCAAAGGGTTTCTATTGAACATCCCGCATTCATGAAGTCATGAAGTCATTGATTTTTTGTGAACGAGGCAAAATGCCGAGAAGGCATGGTACATATATGGCAGAACCGATCCGTTGAGTCTAAGATGTGATTGTTTATTATTATTATTATTATTATTATTATTATTATACTCCTATCTGTAGAAACAAATTACTCTTTATTTTATCCACAATTTCATCTTCGCAATAATTCATTATGTCCTCCCGCAAGGCTTCCGGTGATCAGTATCGCGACTATCAAGACGATAGAAGCGCAAAGTCTCAAGATGTCGTTTACACAACTGCTAATGGCGTACCAATGCCACATCCATATGAGACACAACGCGTAGGCGAGAGCGGACCATTACTCCTCCAAGACTTTCACCTGATCGACCTCCTTTCACATTTCGACCGCGAAAGGATTCCAGAGCGTGTTGTGCATGCTAAGGGTGGTGGAGCTCACGGCGTATACAAAACTACAAATGGCTTGGATGACTTGTGCCTTGCAGATATGTTTCAAGAGGGCAAGGAGTGTCCAATCACTGTCAGATTTTCCACTGTCGGTGGTGAATCTGGTTCGCATGATTGTGCTCGTGATCCACGAGGTTTCTCCGTCAAGTTTAAGACCGAGGAGGGAAATTGGGATTTGGTTGCCAATAACACACCAGTTTTCTTCTTGAGAGATCCAGCCAAGTTTCCTCATTTTATTCATACCCAGAAGCGTGATCCTTCAACCCATCTCACTCATGCTGATGACTCAACAATGTTCTGGGATTACCTTTCTCAGAATCCGGAATCAGTTCATCAAGTCATGATTCTTATGGGTGATCGTGGTATTCCAGATGGATGGCGTCACATGCATGGATATTTTGGACATACCATTAAGCTTGTCAACAAGGCTGGCGAATGGGTATACTGTCAATTTCACATGATCTCTCAGCAAGGAACTAAGTTCTTCACTCAAGAAGAGTCCGCTGAGAAGTCACCAGATTACGCTCAAAAGGATCTTTATGAGGCAATCGAGAAGGGTGATTTCCCAAAGTGGAGTCTCGAAGTTCAGACCATGACAGCCAAGGAGGCCGAGGAATTATGGGAGAAAGAAAAGATTAATGTCTTCGATCTTACTCACGTCTGGCCACACAAGCAATTCCCACTCCGCAAGGTTGGAGAACTCACTCTCAACGAGAATGCAGTTAACTACTTTGCCGAAATCGAACAAGTGGCTTTCAATCCCGCTCACTTGGTACCAGGACTCGAGCCCTCCGCGGATCCAGTCCTTCAATCGCGTCTCTTCTCCTACCCAGATGCCCATCGTCATCGTGTAGGTGTAAATTACCAACAACTCCCCGTCAATGCTCCCCGCACCAGTTACCGCATGGGTAATTTCCAGCGCGATGGTGGTATGGCTTTCTACAACCAAGGATCTCGTCCTAACTATATTTCCTCTATCGAACCCATCCACTTTAGAGAACGTACAGTCGATACTGATAAACTCCACGGCCACTTCGCCGGCAACGCCGTCACTTTCCTCTCTGAAATCCGCGAGGAAGATTTCAAGGCCCCAAGAGCTTTGTGGGAGAAGGTCTTCGACGATGGAGCCAAAGATCGCTTTATCAGTAACATTTCCGGACACATGGCGAACTGCAGAAAGGAAGAGGCGATTAAGCGCCAAATTGCTATCTTCCGCGAAGTATCCGAGGACCTAGCCAGCCGTCTCGAGAAGGCGACGGGCATCAAGGGATATCCAGGTATCGCGGATATGAACTTCAGTGGTACGCATAACGGTATGGCGAAGGATCCAAAGAACCGAACGGCGAACATGATGAAGGGGGTTAGTTTGAGTCACAATGAGAGTAATGGGGCTCCGATGAAGGAGAGTCATGCTACCACCGTTAATGGCAATGGTACCAACGGATCGAAGTTATAAGCTGGGTTATGAGCGATTGTGTATTGTGTGCTATCCGTTATGTGTATGTGTATATATCAGGAATTTTGGAGCTTAGGAACTAGTATACGATTATAATTCTGTTACTTTTATTTCTATTTTAAAAAGATATGAAATCAAAATCAAAAATCAAGATAGTAACGAATGTATGACTGAATGGATTTAAAGAAAATAAAAACGTTATGATAGAATTTGTTATGTGCCTGATATCTTGAAAGGTGAATTCAAATATCCTCAAATCTTGATTAACATAGCACGACGTTCAACCAGTATGATTGCAACTTCCAAATCAGCATCCGCAATGCGCATCGATGCTCCCAGATACAAATAATCGTCATTTCCTGACTCCTGACTCCTGAATAGGAATAACAATATCTTGATATAATGTATCACACACACAAAAGTCAGTGTATTTCCCATTTCATTTCGTGATTTTCTCCTAGCCTTCTTAAAGGTTGAAGTCAATCATCCTTGGTTCGTTGCAGCAGCATGTAAAGTTCTCATCTTGAATAGACTGAAAATACTCGATAGATATAGATAAAAGAGTGTCAAGTTTCCAATGGATGGTTTGAACTAGATTTTGTGTAAAGTTCTGTGGGGCGTTTGATATATTATAATATACATATTCAGAAGTTCAGTATTGTACGTGTATTCTTGCTATACCTGTACCTATACCTATACCTATGTATATGTGTATGTGTATGTATATGTGTATGTATGTATGTATGTATGTATATAACAAAGTGAAGTGGGAATGTTTCATATTTCTTCCTTTCCTTACTCAACACACAATTTACAGAAATATACGCAATCCAATGTATACCCAACCTCGCGGATTCCAAGGATTCCAACGGACCATGAATAAGCAACCATTCCGCAATGGCCGCCCCGAGTAACCATAGTAGTGTATCATATCATGTCCCTTCCCACCCATGCCGCCCATGCCGCCCATTCTCAAGCCCAAATCAAATACTCCAATTCTAAACGCCTTCTCGTGATGACTTTCTAATCTTCACAAACATCCGGTGTATCAACCGCCTCTACCAATCCTCGAAAATTTTCCCAGGCCACGTTTTTGGACAACCCTTCTAAAAGATTCCTCAATCTGTGCTTTTCATAAGGTAGTTTATCTCCCGAGATCACTGTCAGTATCCGCTTTATTATAGTCTTATTATCCCGGTTGCTGCATATGCTTGCAATCTGTGGAATGGAAAGATGGACATTATGGTACCAAATAAAGTAAGGCACGAGTTGCAATCGTGAGACTTTAGATTCTGGATTGGCTTCTAGATAAAAGGTTGTGAGTACGTCGGCTGCTAGGAGAACGGGAGATTCTTCGCCATCGTGAGAGTCGGATGCGGGTTCAATCCTTCGAATTTTTATTGATTGTTCGGAAGTGGTGATTTTCCTCACAAGATCATTAGGGTTGGATGCGGGGTGTATTCTTCGTATGTTTACTGGTGGCTCGGAACCGATGACTTTTCTCACGAGATCGTTGATCTCTATTTCACTTCCTGCTTCGGTTCCAGTTTCAATCGAAGCTTCAATGGTAGCTTTGGGATCTTCGAGCAAAAAATCAGGGTCAAGTGGTAGGGGATCTTGCATGACCTGGCGTCGAGTATATTTTCGTTTTATTGGAGTTTGTGTGGGAAGGTGTGATAGGGGGATAGGCGCGTTTTGGTCGGCGTGAGATGGACGTGGAGGCGTTGGGTCTAGAGCCTGGCGCTTGGTCTCAAGTATATCGTATAGATGAAAACCAGCATATGAATCTGATGCTGCATATGAGATTTGCTGGATTGATAGTCCTCGACTCCAATCACTAGCTCTAACATCCCCGCCCTTGAACAATGGTAGGTGTAGATGCTCTTCAACTTGCTTTGCTAGCGAAACTAGTCTCTTGTTGATCAGATCGTATTCCTGGGAAAGGGTATATTTGACCAGTCGGTGAAGATGGCTAAGCTCAAATATAGAGACTGAATCAATATTAAGATGTGTTCTGAGACGTGTACAATCTGCGCTGATTGCCACGCCTACTTTGGTGACTTCTGGATCCTCCATGATCTTCTTCAAAGTTGGAGCCACGAGTTCCGAGGCATTGGTTTGTGGAAACAATGCAATGTGAAAGAGACCAATTCGTTCTTCAGTTGCGAGTTGAATCAAAGAAACATTCTTCTTTGGTCCATGATACGCGCGTGCCTCTGCCTTCCATTCTATATCAAATCCTAGAACCTTTTTACCCAAGAAGTGTTGTTTCAAGGTCTGTTCTGTGGTTTGCAGACTCCGGCAATAATGTACTTTGACTTTCTTCGGAATACCATTCTCCTCTGGCCCACGATATAGAGTGTGTGACCAGTAGGATTCTGGTGTCTCTGGCTCGGCATTTTTCGCCTTTTTAAACAATTCCTCCGTCATTTGGTATGTGGATTCGGAAATCGGAAGTTTCTTCTTAGTAGGATCTTCCAGGATCTCATCTGCTATCTCTTGTCCCTCTGCTACCTCTTGAACATTTACTCCTGTTCCAGTCTCCAAACTCTCTTCCTGAACCACTGTCGCCACCTTCTGAGTTTTCGAGCTTTCAACGTGCGCGTTTGCCAGAACATAACTATCTTCGGCGTATGAATGATACTCTAAATTCTGCTCATTCTCTGTCACAGAAGCCGTACTCAAATGTCTCGGTGACCCTGGCGCAGAAACATCTTTGAAGACGATACCATGACTTGGCTGCCATGTCTTTGGGGAATTGGATGAGATCGATCGAGTCACCACAGGACTGCAGAATATGTATCAGCTTCAAAAATATGTAAATTGCAGTATAGAGTTCCAAACATACCTTGCCCTCTTTCCACTCATGCCTGCAATTGCTGAACCCATTGCTTCTACAGAGGCCAAATTCGATTTCCCAATAAAGGAAGTTATATTCTTCATAATGGGACGCCGAAGTGATTTGCCCACCGTATATGCTCCATGATTACCTGGGAGCATGACACGAGCATTTGTATAGAGAATTGTGGTCCTACGAAGGAGTGGAGGACTAGGCAGATGCACGCCAATCGTTGATCCTAGAGGTCGATGATAGGAAACTGTACGGAATTGATGCCTGAGGCTTGAAGATGAATTTGTCTGTTAGTTGGGGAATCACGAGGTTTATGCGATTTTGAGACGAACAGGAAAGAACCAAACAACGAAACTATTAATCGTCAATTAGGACGAACTCTGTGATACAGTTTCTAATATCTTCCTGTGGTGTTGAACTGTGAGTCAAATCCCTTCATCCTGCGCTGTCAAGCTCACGTGCTTCTACCTTGTTTGATTGCCCCCTCCATACGGAATCGCAGTCAATGCCAGACCTGGGCAATCACAAAGATTTGCTATATTGAATCTCTTACCACGCAGTCATTTCTATTCCACACAACAAACTAATTTTCTTGCAAGCTTAATATTCTGATCAGTAAACCTCAAGCCAGTCATCCAAAATGGCCAGCCAACTTCTCCCTCTTGGTCAGTTATTCTATCTGCCCGCAAACACATGCACAAACTAACACATTGGTAGAACTTATTGACAAGTGTGTCGGTTCTAAAATCTGGGTCGTCATGAAAGGTGACAAAGGTACTACCTCTATCATCACCTCTTTCCAGAAATCCATACTCACACACTACCAGAATTCACCGGCACACTCACTGGTTTCGATGACTATGTCAACATGGTTTTAGAAGATGTTATCGAATTGTATGTATCTGTTCACTCTATAAAGCTTTTAAATTTTTACTAAGTACTCATAGTGACCACCAATCTGGAAGCCAAACAAAGCTTCCTAAGATTTTACTGAACGGTAATGGTATTGCTATGGTACGTATCTTTCCATGTCTTGGTATACGCATCACGAGAAACAGTCAAGAGCTAATAATAGAGTAGCTGGTACCAGGGGGAGAAGGACCAATTGGAGGATCATGAACGTTATGTGTGTTGTTAACGGGTATCAAAAGTTAAGGAAATGATCATTTTATAGAGAGGAATGCCAACGTTTTGCGATCCCATCAATCCTCCTTGATGTCATAATTTATCTCAAATTAAATTGCAACCATTTAAACTAAGATTCAGAGTATCTCAAGTGAGGTCTCTCAATCACTTGTGGTGAACACAACACTCAGTTTTCTACCATAGAGACTCACAAGTGGGATGTTATCATTGCCTTTTCAACGTACACGAAACCGTTCAAAAAAAGGACTAGAGGTCCATTATTCATATACAGACATAAATTATCTACCATATTATCCAAGCTCAAGTTCGCTCAAGTTCGCTCAAGTTCAAGGGTTCGCTTTCCTTTCCTCCATCTTCGATGTTTCAGGTCTTCTATCATCCTTCAAAATATCGCCCCAAAAATCATAAAAAACGCTATCCCTCGGCTCCTCCACATCTCCCTCCTCCTTTCCCTGCTCATCTCCATCTCTGCTCTCCTCAATTCCACCTCTCCTATAACTCTGCGACCACCTCTTAAACATCTCCTCCGTCTTCGCCCCCTCAATCTGCAAACCATGCGTCTGCCACTCCGGAAACCCTATCTCGATATCCCTCGGACTATCACCCATTCCTCCATACACCAGCATCTGACTCTCCTGTCTAACCGGCGATGGATTCACAATCTGCGGTCGGCTATGTTCAACTTTTGATACATAAATCTTTCTCTCTTCCCCGGGGACATCTTTCGGAGGAACAGGCGGTCGATACTCAACATCATAGCTCGGAGGCGTCGTAGCCAACATATCGCGCACCCTAGTAATGTTTCTCCGATCTTTCAAAGGTGGCGTGGGAGAAATATCATCGCTATCAAACTGCAAAGTCGTATCTTCCCACGCTTTCGTGTTGAGAAAATTAGCTTCGCAGGAATGACAGAGACCGCGAGAGCTGGTTCGTTCGTGTTTCCGACACAGTTTACAGAGATCGTTCAAATGCGTGTTCCAGGAATCATCGCTCGGTTTACGATGCTTGGGGAGTTCGGTCCCGGATGGAATGGAGTTTTGATGGGACTTTTCTGATAGGATCGCAGGGGAGTGAGAAAGTAATATCCCACTCTCGTTATGCGTTTCGCCGACACATCCCCAGAAGTCATCATCGCTATCTTCTCCCTCTTTGGATTTACCCTTCGACTTTGATTTGGAGCTTTTTCTCAATTCTGTGCTTTCTCTTCCACTCTTTTTCCCATCGTAACTCGGATACAATAAATAGTCAAACGGACTAGGTAATTTTCCCTTGGAAGTCGTCTTTTTCTCATGAGGATCGTGCACAGCATCGCGACTCTGTCCCATATACCCTTTCAGTTTCTGAATCGGACTTGCCCTCCCCTCTACATTTTTTCCTTTTCCTTTACCCCTACTATTCTTACTATTTTTGCTACCCCGACTTGAAGTTGAGCTCGGATTCGAGTGGTGTAGCACATCCGTGTGTTTAGGTATTTCAGAACTGGGCGGGACTACTCTTTCCAATTTCCCATTCCATATTGCCGCTCTCATCGCTTCTAATTGTTCCATGCTCGTTACTTCTTCCTCGCTATCTCGATGTATTTCCTGGCGTCTACTCTCATGACCAGCCATCTCATCTTCTTTACTGATTGTCTGCGAACGAGAACTAACCAGCGTAGTCGCAGGACTCTGATCTCTCTCTTCCAACTTCCCCTTTCTTCTTAATCTCTGTCTCGGCGCAGCCTTATGTTTCCCCATCGCCACTTCCGCTCCTCTCCCTCTCGAACTCTCCGCAACATTCCCACTATCCGTCGTCCCCGTCGTCCCCGTCGCACTCCCAGCACTACTCCACTGCACATCCGAAAACCTCACACTATCCCTCTGACTCGTATTTCCCGTCCCATTATCATACGTATATCCCGCAGGCGGCGGTATGGGAATCGGTATCGAAATCGGCGAATGATTCCCATTTCCGCGCGCAAACGCCTTATGCGGCGATTCACCACGACTATGCGGAGGACTAGGACTATTCCCAGCATACCCCGGGCCCTTTGCAAAATCTCTTTCCAATTCCCGTTGCTGTTTCATGTACGTCTCCGGATCCAACTGCGTCATTCCCCCATACGCAAGCCCCTGTTTTTCTCCCCTCCCATTCCTCCCCCCTGCATCTTCTCTCGGCAAAAATTTCGGCGGACTCTCATCCCTTACCTCCCTCTCATTCTTCCCCACCAGAATATGCAAACTCGACGAACTAGGAGGACTATTGCCCCCCGTATAGCCCTTTCCAAAATCCCTCTCCAATCCCCGCTGCTGTTTCATATAACTCTCAAAATCCAACCCCGCCAACCCCTTCTTCCCTCCCCACTCCCCCAAACTCACTCTCGCCTCCTCTCTCGGCTTCAGATAACTCGCGCGCTTCTTCCCCTTCGCATGTTTATATCGCGTTTCCAACCCTCTCTCATAACTCTGACTTCCCCTCTCCCCCACCATCCTCTCCTCTCCCTTGGACGAAAAGCTCCCGCGCACACTCCCGCTGTGGTATTTCCCAACCTGTGTCGGAATGGTCGGGGGATGCATTTCCCGCGGGGGATACCGTATACTCGTCCCCTGTCGCGACCGCGAAAGCCGCCGACTTACAGGCCGCGTCCGGTTCCGGAAGGAGGTCTTCAAATACCGTTTTAGCCGACGCGTGGTATATACCAAGGGGTTCCTTGGAGGCGGCGAAGGAGACTGAGTAGGTGTGGCGAAGCGTGGAGGCGTGTTGGTATCGAATCGAAACGCAGTAGGTGTGGTTATGAATTGGGGACTGCGAGATAGGGGAGGAACTGGAGTAGGGGCTCCGCCGCGTACCTCGTTATAGGTTGTATGTGTGATTTTCATGGTTGACAAATTTTAGGGTTATTTCTCTGCTGGGCTTCAGAATTGAGATCTTGCGAATAAATTGCAAGGAGACGAAATAATTGCTTTTGTTGATATTTCTCTCTTTGGTTATGCCTCGCTCAAATAATGCCTACTATAAGAGACAAAACCCTCTTCTCAAATCCTTACTCCTCTTTCGCTGAAAGCAAGATAAAGATGAATTTGCTGATTAATGTTCAGCTCAGTATGAATAATAATAATAATAATAATAGATGCTATCAAAAACAATGTTTGCTAGAATCGCGAGAAGAAAAAAATTAAAAAACTCTCTAGAAGATCCAAACACTTTTAACTATTAATCTTTTCGCTCTTCTACACATGATGGTGACTAAATCTTCTTTATTCCATTTCTTCACATCTTTTTCTAGAATTCTATTTCCTTTATGTGTATACCGAAGAAGGTTTCTCGCCACGTAGATTGCACCTTTGAATCGGCCTATTTATAATCCTCTCGTACGTATTGGTATTTCCATTCCCATTTCCATTTGTTCCATTTCCTCGAGTCAATTTTTCTTGTTTGTATTGATTACTCTCAACCATGCGGTTTTCTTTATCCCAATTGACCATCATCCTAAACATACACTCTTTCTTTGTCGTCGGACTAGAACGCACACTCCGTCTCTCCATTCACATATCATTCTGAATTTGTGTTTCTTTGTCTGAGGTGTAAATGATGTACCCCCAAGGTACGCTCGAGGTACTTTTAGAACAAAGATGGGATATTTCGAGTCCAATAAGCGACGGATTTGAAATTGCAGAACAAAGACTCAACAGGATAACTATTTACAAATCCTTTTCCCGGATTGTTCACCCCCCCCCCATCAGGCACCCGCGATCCTGAGCCAAGTCTTTCGAATGCCGTAAAGATGCTAATATAGTGTTGATGCCGAAGAATGTGGCATGTGGGTTATAAAGCGTGAAGAGTATTTATTGTATGTTTGCAGTACCTTTTCCACTAGGTGTGACGACCTACAACGATCAATATCATTAATATCCGTAGACAACTTGAAAACTGCACCGGCGGTAGAAGTAGTAGTGGTGAACCCTCAACTATTTCAATCTATCTATAGCTAACACCACGCTGAGCATGCAATACTTTTGTCTATCTATATATCACAAACAAAGCAGCAAGATAAAATCGATGAGGTATACCTCCTTCAATTGTCTTCCAAGTTGTCCTCCGCGCCAAAATCCAACCCTTCCACGTAAAATATCCAATTCAAACCTTAAGATACAAAATCACTCAGTATTGACACCAACAAACTACCCACAAATTACCACCGCCTCCCCCCTCCTGCTCTCCAATCCAAACGTTCACACCTAATCCAAACTCTTTACATCAAATACCTGATGCCCACCATATCATACCATAACGCACAATACATACAAACAGGTACCTATATTCAAGATATCCTCAATACCCAAAATCAACACACACTCACTCAACCATACAAAGCACCACACATCATCATTCACATCAACATCACAAACCAGAAAGGAATGCTAACAAACCCCTCTCGCATCATGATCCATCTCTTCACTCCATCACAAAAAGAAATCCCAACACCAAATCAAATCACTACAAATCAAATCACCACACACAAAAGCAGAAACACCAAGCTCTTTATTTGAATTTTGAAATTTTTTACTTATTCATTGTATCCTATACAAATTACTCTTTGCGCACCCTGTAGGCCAATCATTCCCTTTTGTATTCCATCCATCCCTTAAAATCCCATCCGTCTTTACCTTCCGTGTGAAACCTGTAAAGACAGCATGTAAAAATCATTGTCGTCTACTCATGGTATCTCTCTAGAGAACTTGCTTGTAATGCGAAAGAAGGCAACGCTTAATGCACTAACCATGCTCCATGCTTAGAATTCCATGCAATCCCATATACCATGCTCCATACCATGCTCAATGCCCATACCGAGAAAGACAAACTCCATCCCAATGCTATGCTAAAGAGAACCAAAAGACACATACTGATACAGCATGTACGTAGCCATTTGAAACGTAGAGAATCTATCATCCACTGCGTCCAGCGAACTAGAGACCTCTCCGAATAAATTCAAGTACCCTGCCAATATCAAACTCCAAAACAAAAGGCAGCAACAAGACTGCATGCAAGCGTTTCCCTCATCTCAATCCACCGCCCGCTACAGTTAGGTAACAATCTGAAGTTGGGTTTCCCGAGCTTTGCATATTGCATGGTGACATCGGACCAAAAAAGAAAAACGCAAAAAGGAAATGAAGCAGACCTATCATGGGGGGACGTCCCCATAATGGAATGCAAAAAATCAAACGCAACCGTGAGGGGACGTCCCCACAGTGTAATACAAAAAATCAAACGCAACCGTGGGGGGACGTCCCCACAGTGTAATACAAAAAGCAAACGCAACCGTGGGGGGACGTCCCCACAGTGTAATACATAAGAAAAGAAATGGGTGCACAAAACGCACTGCCATCGACTATCTTCTAGAAATCACTTCATTCATCCATACGCAGTCACTTCAATCACCCATTCTTATATTCAACAAACTCCAATGCCATGATCCATTTTTATAACCAACAGTCACCACTGCTGTCCATCGATGTAATAAACAATCGCTGCCGAATAGTTCTGATACGTAGCTTCCACAGCGACAAAAGCGAAATAGAGAAAGCTGGATAGGTGGCAGAAATCAGGTGCGAGGATCCCACCATCCTGACCTAATTCTGGGAGATCCCATCCTAGAGAAATCATTGCCTGTCATTCTCATTCTTTCAATGAACTTCGCCGTATGTGTATGGGTGCCAATATTAATGTTGATATGTTCAATCTCGTAAACATTAACGGTGAGAAAATTGAAAACGCTGGATAGGCTGCAACAAAGTGGGTAGGAAGGAGCCACCTCCCAAACCCAGCTCCGAGTAATCGTATCCTCGGTGTTTCGAAAATCCCTGTAAATATGTACGTGATGTAAAATTAATGTGCCGATGACATAATTCATCTTGCTGGTAGTGTCGAAAGGACGAAATATTTTGTGAAGAAATCGCACATTGTCAGAGTATATAACTCGCTCATCTGACGTGTGCAAAAGGTGTATCTCTGAGCGAAAAAGAAGGGTATCGATCGTATCATATCGTGAAAAAGAAAGCCCTCGATCATATTCAGAAGCGCCCCGCCGTCGTTGACTATCCTATTAAAAACTCAAACAGTAGAAAACAATCATGTAAAGGTATCATTATCACCCAGCACCACGCACCCAATGTTAAAATCCAGATAAATCGAGCAAGAATATAACCAGTCTTGAACCAAATCAAGAATATCAAGGCGACTCGCATGCCTGATGGATTTGAACCATCAAGGGAGAGCCCCGCAACCAAAGTAGGAGCGTTTTCAATTAATGATTGATGTAAGGTTCAATTTGAAAGTTGAGCGTCTTGAGAGACAGACACTTAACGTGAAGACTGGATTAGGTTCAGCTAGAATTTACCATAATCTGATGGCGCGTTCAGCAACGGGACTTTCTGGAAGCTCGTCCCAGTACTTGGGTTGGGGTCGTGATGGGTCTTGGATTCCATTGTGCATAGATCCAAACATTCTGGGGTCAATGCCTTCGAACAATGATGCAACTGCTTGCTCTACTGGACCTTGTTCAAGATCATCATATTCATGCCAAATGTGGTCGGGAATGGGTGTGATAGGGATGTAACCCTCGCCCAGACGCTCCTGAACACGTGCCATAACCAAAGGGTCAGCATTCCAGCCAATGGATGCAGCAGTGAAATCAAAGTTGAACATGGGCATAGAATCCTTCGCAGCCTTCAAACCCTTCTCTTGATCAGTCTGGACAGGGCTCATGGTGGAAACCTGTCTAAGACCACTGCCCTTTGTGGGTAAGTATTTGTTGGCCTTCTTCATGGCGTGCTGTACAGCCTCGGAGATTGGAGCCGGGGTGTTCTCAACAGTACCAGGAAGTTTGGCATTGACGGGCTTGGGTTTTGGTGGAGGAGTTTGAGTCCATCGCTTTGCCTCCAAAGTTCTGCCAGCTTTCATTTCAACGGCATCCTTGTATTGAGCTTTCCTTTGCTGTTCTGCCAGGTGGTTGAAGATATTGTCGCCCGACCCACCAGTAGGCATCTTGATAGCAATTCCGTATTCATCACGGGGGTTAAGAAGAGGAAGTCCTTCCTTGATATTCGCAATATGAGCCGCGGTGAGCTTTTTACCTGGGACTTGGAACATGTTGTAAGGACTTCTTGGATAGAACAGAACTCTCTTTTGACGCTCATTAGTGACATAAGTATAGTCGTTTTCGCTCTCGTCTGGGATGTTTGGTGTTCCCTTAGCACGTAAAGCAGCCTGCTCAAGAAGCTGAGCTGAGTTGAGTGGATTTTGGACGCCTGCTCCCTTGTAAATATCTTGCTTTGGGAAAGCGTCGATGTCACGATAGTGATCTTGCCAGGCAGAATCATCGCCAAGATCGCCAGATTCAAATTGTTTGTCAGTGGAACCCTCTCGAATATAAAGACCATTTGGACATCGAACCCATCTGGGGCCGTAATCTGAATCAATACTAGACTCTAAGAAATTATTCCAGCGTTGGCTAGGGGCTTTTGGTGTGCCGTTGGCATCACGCTTCTCGCCTGCTGGAATATGTGTGAACGAAGAAGTTTCTTCCTCGACTGCATCAGCAACAGCAGCCTTCTTAGCCTGAGATTCTCTTTGAGATGCTCGTGCGGTCTTATGAATATCCCGATTGGCTACGATCAAAGGACCTCTATTCTGATGCTTGGCGGCGTATTCATCCTGTGCTCTATGGATCTCCTTGATTTCAGCTGGGGTGAGAAGACCATTCTTGGAGCTTGGTGATCTTCCGATATCCTTGTGTCGTGGACGACGTTCGGTTTGGAAACCACCAAGACGACCTTGAGCATTGTTTCGGGTATTGCGCTTGCGATCTGAGTGAGACATACGCTTGAGAGGAACGGCCGAAGGAGTGGTTGGTGGCTGGCTGAAAATGAATGGTGGTGGAACAAGCTTGTTGCAAGGAAGCGGAGCTGGGGCAGCATCGGCCTGCTTGCGGAACGGGCTGGTAAGCATCGTAGCAACAGTAGAGAGAGGGTTCCACCAGGAGCTTCGAGGGCTTTCAGTTGGCACAGGAGTAATTTGTGCTTCAGGTGTCTTTGGTTCCTCGACGTCGGGTGTTTCATCCTCATCGGACATCACGGTATCGTCATCACTTCCGTAACCTGGAACAACAAATCCTGAGCGATTGGGTGTTATTGGTTGAAGAGGATGAGCGGGTTTTTGAGTAACCGTTTGTCTCTTGCCATTGTGCGAAGCTTGTTGAGCATCGAAGCCATTGAGGAACGCGGTAACTTGTTCAATAGATGGCATAGCCTTCGACTTATCTTTGTGATTAGTGAAGACTTTGTTTATAGCTACTAGATAAGGATCCATTAATTTGTGTCCATCCCGAGGAGACTGACGTCTTGAATGGGGAGCATCGGATTTGGAAAGAGTCTCACTGGAAGAAGCCACAGCGGTCGTCTTCTTACGCTCATTATGAGCAATCTTCGTTATGTCAGTATCGTGGCACAAGTTGGTAAGGTAATTCTTGAAACATACATCATTTGTGCTTTGAGCAACCTCTTTGGTAACCTCTTTGACAACCTCCTTTGCGACTTCTTTTCCTTTTGTTGGTGAAACAAGTCTTTCTGGATGATATCTTTGCATCATCATTAAACGCAATCTTTCGGTCTTTCCCATGCCAGGTGTAATCTTGATAGACGACGTCGAAATTGCGCGAGCAATGGGTCGAGTGACAGGAGGAATTGCACGAGGCTTCGAGGGAGAAGGGCCAGTTTCAGTGAGAGATGAAGCTGGCTTTTCGGCTTCGGCTTGAGGAACCGGTCGGGTATCAGGAGAGATGTGTGCAGGTTTGGAGGTTGAATGAGTAATGGTAGATGGACCAGCTTGGGGTTCATCTTCTTCAGAAGAAATCAATTCTTGCTGATTCTGAGGAGTACGTGGAGAAGGCGCGGCGGCTTGCTTTGGTGTAGAGTTCAATCGAGGTTGGAAAGGTGATACAGTCGTCTCGGCTGCTTCGTCTGAGCTGCTGTCGTTGAGGACAACTGGATCTTGCTTGCGGCCACGAGTCTTGTTCGCAGATTTCTTAGGGCTTGCCTTTGCGCGAGTGCGAGGACGACCTTTGGGTTTCTTTGCGGGTGTGGGCTCTGGCTCGGTCGACTTTTCATTCTCAACATCGGCTTCGACATTGACATCTTCGGTGTCCTGGCTTTCCTGTCTACGTGTACGCTTGCTGACCCTCTGCTCATCATCCTCTGCGTCTTCCTTTGTAACGCCAACACCTTGGTGGGTGGAAGGCTCTGATACTCGTGATCTCTTTCTGTTGGATCCGAGATGAGAAATGCGCTGTGCATCTTGCTCTTGATCAATAACGTCGTTGTCCGAAGACGCGTCATTTGATGTGGTATTATTTTTAGGTGGGGAAGTAGAGCGCGAATCAAGTCGTGAATTGACCGGTGTAGGAGAAGGTGAGTGCGAATCTGGAGAGTTTGTTCTGGAAGGATTTGTAGGTGGTGATGAAGCCTTTTGCGACTCCGTATTATCGTTGCCTTCGGCGGATGTGATGAATGGATCGATGGACTCGGACTCGATTGAACGTTCGACGGATTCAGCCTTGATTTTCTTTCCCTTTCCGCGTGTAGGCTTTGGAATATCATCAAGTGATTTGAAACCACCTGGACTGGCACCAGCTGCGCGTGTGCGGCGAGCTCCAACCATCTTGAGGAGTTGTCGAGTGATGGCGCGACTCGCGATTATGTGAAGGTGACGAAGGGCGACAATGCGAATTGAATTTATTTATCAACTTGATATAGTCGAGATGAATGAGGAACCGTATGCGAATCAAAATTCTTTGAATGTTGGATGAATTTTGAAGTTGTACGTGGTGGTCTGAAAAGTTGATGGAGGTTGTTTCGTCGGGAAGAAGCGCGAATAGTGTAAAAAGATTCAGGAAGTGCTTACTAGGTCAGGCTAGCTGTGAAAAATCCAGTTTATTGTGCTAAAATTAGCTGCAAGGATCAGCTAGTGGACCGTGCCGCAAAAGTATCACGTGAGAGTTAGGGCTGCTATTGTTGAATGGTTGAATGCGATCTCGATATTCTTCAAGATTCCATCAATTAGATCTATCAATTGATTGTTTTATATCTTCACATCCACCTCGTTGCCGTAACAAGACAAACAAGTGAAGTTTACACGACATTACCACCAAATAAATTGTAACGCTAACGACGCGACTTATTACTCATGTTGATTTAAACACGACCGTACTCAATTTGCTCCGGTCTCCTGAAATACCAAATCGAGATGAAAACATCACATTATTACTCCTTACACACCCTGCCAAGCACTATCGTAGAGTCTACCTATCATCGTAAATCCTTCTGTCATTACGTAACAATCAAGACCTTCTTATTTCCCCACATTCAACACCGCGGCGGTCCGTAGCCTTCTCCCCGAGGCTAGCTTGAACTTTGTTCGGTTTATTTCCAAATCTCCCTATGGCCTAATATTCAAGGCTAAGTACTCACTCAAATCTACAACACCGAACATACTCCCTCCCTAGGGACTCACACCATCAAACATCAAGCCATACCTCCACACACATACATGCACACACAAGCACACACAACCCAACACAACCCAACACAACACATCGCAGCATACCATATCATATCATATCATAGTACCAAACCATAAAACAAAACATAATAAATTCGCTCACAAAATCATCATCATTATATGATTCATATCGATCGCTCTCAACCTAGGTACCCTACGCTATCTATGTTTCAAAACAAAAAAAGAAAAAAAAGTCCCTAGAGAGACAGACAGGCAAACAAATAGACGCAATCCACATTATCCATAATATAATTTACATATCCGTCTTCATTCATTTACCCTCTCTTCCCCCTCGATTCATTCACCATCTACATGCGCACAGTGGTAACCCCCCGTGCATTAAATACCCCCTACGCTCAGCTACGCGAACAAGTCCCATTTTGAATGTGAAAAGATAAAACAAAGATATAAAAAAAAGTAGCCGAAGAGAAAAAAAGTTAAAAACGCCAAGCAATGCACCGCTCATTAAGAACCAGATACTCAAGAAAGAAATCAAAAGTATTAGTAACATTTCAACTCATAAATATCCCTTTATCTTTTCCCTTCCTCGCCTCTTCCCCTTCCCTTCTCTTCTCTTCTCTTCTCTTCGCGGTCTCTCTCCATCTCACGACGCTTTCTTCGGCGCTTTCATCAACGCACTGCCCATATCCCCCGCCTCCGGATCAAGCAAGGAACTCATCGCCTTACTCAACTCTTTAAAATCCACGGGTTTAGTCACATAACTATTGAAGCCAGCCTGAACACATTTCTCCAGCACATCCGCCATTACATTTGCACTCAAGGCGATAATTGGCATTTTCGTGGTTGATCTTTGGCTTTCCCATTCGCGAATTTCGCGACAGGTTTGGTAACCGTCCTTTCGGGGCATGTGAAGATCGCACTTTTGGGCGTGTTAGTTTATCTTATATCAGAGCGGGGGAAGAATATGTCATGATATGGGACGATAGCGGAAAGGAAGGAAAGACATACCAAGATCAAAGAATAAAATCCATGCGGTTTGCAGAATACTTTCTCTGTACATTCCACACCATCCATTGCCAATTCCACCGCAATTCCAACTTTACTCAAGAACTTCAAGAGAACTTTTTGATTGACCAAATTGTCTTCTACTAACAGAATCTTAAGTCCCTTGTTTCCAAGGCGCTGACCCACATCCAAATAATGTTGTTTCTGACTGGCGACTTGTTGTTGCGCACTCGAACGATTACGATCAGTACTCAAATCTCTCTCTTTATCTGGATCAAAGATAACTGCAAATCTTGACGGTTTAACAGGCTTATATATGAATGTAAGACGATTATCTTTAGCCATTTGATCGTAGTCGTATGATTGAGCCATCTTAATGACTTCTTGTCTCTGTACAGGATCTGATAGGACAACGATTGAGGTCTGAGGCAACATCACCGATGCGATGAGTTGATCAATCAACTGTACTATTTCTTCTGCCGAACCAAGATTCAAGACGATATGTGTAAAGTTGACAGAGTCATCTCCGCTAATAAGACTCCTGGCCTCCTCGACACTTGCAAGTGGAGTTATTTGATGAGGAACGTCTTTTGGTAGAGTAATTTCGATGTGCTGTCTCGTCGCCTCGCGACTATGAGTTTGCGGACAAATGAGTAAAATCGAGTACATTGGAGGTCGGAAATGCTTCAAGTCGTGTGAGAATTCATTATTCGGACGTTTAGTGTGTGATTCTGGAAGGGTCGAGGAGGGATTTGCAGGAATCGATGAAGGTGCAGATTCAAGCAGCGGTGAAGCTGAAGGTGAAGGGGAGTGCTTCTCGGGCAGCTCTAGTTTCATGTTTTCAGGAGTACTTGATCGAGCGGCCTCGCCAAAATGGGCCAAGCTCTGATTGACAGAAGAAACGGAAGATCTATCTGTGAAACGAGTTCGACCGGAATAGCTAGAACTAGATGGCTCTGAGCTATTGGAAGACAATACAGCTGGTGAACCAGCACTCGATTCGGTCTTTGGACTGTCCATGTAGATTGCAGGCGAATTCAACAGCCTGCTAACTAAGAGTGGGTTACTTGAAGCCTGCTTGGCAGCAATTTGTGATGTTATATTGTTGGGTGTCGATGATGATGATGGCACCTTGCTCAATTGGGGTGTTGTGAGTGGTTCTGGATGATCTTCTGCAGTGGGCAGTCCGAATTTTGCAGTGAAAGTGAAAGTAGATCCTTTACCAGGCACCGCAGTACCTTGCATCTTGCCATCATGCAACTGCACCAGTTGTCTCGAAATAACCAATCCTAAGCCACTTCCACCATGTTGTCTTGTACTACTGCCATCAATCTGACTGAAAGGCTTGAAGATGAGATCCGCCTCTTCTTTCGTGAATCCTCTACCCGTGTCCACAATAGAATACTCAAGCATTATTTCGTTGACCAACGGTGGTGTATCAGCTTCCGTGTATACCCTGCATCTAGTGAACACTTCACCAACAGTCGTGAATTTGATCGCGTTGCCAATAACGTTCAGTAAGACTTGACGAATACGGAATTTATCTCCCTTTACCATTTCAGGAACATCAACGTCGACGATATAATTAAGCTCAAGCCGTTTAGTAATAGCCATGGTAGAAACCATTTCATTGACTTCCTCGACTAGAGAACGTGTATGGAACCACTCGTATGACAGTTTCATCATACCGGCATCTACCTTGGAAAGATCCAATATATCGTTGATAATGTTGAGTAGACTACTTGCGCTAGATTGTATTGTATTCGTATAATCGAGCTGTTCGTCGTTGAGTGTGGTGTCTTGAAGGAAGCTTACCATCCCAGAAATACCGATCAAAGGTGTTCTGATTTCGTGAGACATATTACTTAAGAATTTGCCCTTGGATTCCATGGCCTCTTTGAGCTTTGTTTCCAGCAGTTTGTGGTCATTAATATCAGTGCAAGCCCCAAACCAGGAACCATCTCCACTTCCGAGGTTGATGTTGTCAACTTCCACACATCGTACAAGGTGCCAACGATACTCTCCAGTCTTCGATCGCAACCGAACTTCAGTGGTATAAGACAGTCTCCCGTTGCCATCGGTGGTGACCTTAATGACTCCAGTTCTCGCTAGTTCAGACAAATCCGCTGTGGCAAATTCATATACAGAACTACTACTCGAGCTATTGTTTCGCGACAAAGTTTGGTGAATTCCTTTCACAGTCTTTTCGGTTGGCGCTTCGGAGGGATCAGATGATTGCCCTGATTTACCACTCGAAGATGTATGAGATGGGTTCCTTCTCGGCTCGGCTGGTTTCTTTGGTCTGGTCGATGGAGGTGGCGGTCTTCCAATTGGTATTTGGCACTTCGCAAGATCCTCTGGGTGAACATAATCCATAAATCCAAGTCCCAAGGCATCATTGAAATCTTGTCCGGTATACGAAAGCCATTGCTCGTTTGCAAAGGTTACACCCTCGTCTTCCGTTGCCGCGAAAATGATTTGAGGAATTAAATTTGCCAGTTGTCTGTGCTTAGCCTCGGATGCTTCTATCTCCTCCTGTCGTGCAGCTTTGACTTCTGCAATATGCTGGTCGTGGATATCCATATGAGAGCCGTACCATTGAACTATCACACCTCTTATATCTCGGGAGCCAACAGCACGAGTGTAGAACCAACGATAGTTTCCGTCAAAACGTCTAATACGTACCTGCATAGAGAATTGCTCACCCGTCTTCACCGCATGCGACCAAGCTTTCAAATATTCCTCTCTTTCTTCGGGATGAATACTGCTCCATGGATCTTGATACAACTCGGATACGGTTTGACCGCGATATGTAAGATATCGGCTATTTACCCATACTATTTCTCCAGTCTGTGGCAATGCGACGAACACATGCGCAGGTAAAGAGTCCAACATCAAGCCTTTCAGTCGATCTGATGGCGGTGGCATGTCTGTAGGTAAACTGGCATTTGATAATCCTTGGCGGGAAGATTTGGGTACATTGGGAGCTTTAATAGATGAAGCCGACGTTGTTGGCAATGACTGGAAAGTGGCACCAAAGTCGGCACCGTATGAGTGTAGTTGTGTGTGCTGACGATCAGACTTACCAGCACCATAGGAAGCACCTCTAATTGCTTGCCGCCTCGGTGAATCGTGGGTGTTTTGGCGTGGAGGACTTGGGTCACGGATGTCTGAAGTTTCATTTATAGTCTCTTTAGATCTATTGTTGCGAATTTCTAGTCCGGAGAAATTAGATGATGGTGAACCTTCTGCATCAGGTTTGGTCTTGGTCGAATTATCACCACCATCAAGTGAAGGAGCACTTGGTCCCCAAGGTCGATCATCACTCTGATTTCGTAGTACCGACCGGGTCTCAGCGGGCGAAGTTTCTTTCGACGAGCGTCGAATACCCGCTACGCTACTTCCTCCCGTGTCCATACGACTTACATTCGGCCTCCTTGAGCTGAAATATCCTTCATTTGAGACGTATCCGGGGCTGTCACCGCTGGATCTTCTATCCAGCGTGAGTCCTACGCTACTGGGATCCCAGGACGGTGTACCACTTGGGGATGCATTGGCACTTCGAGACACGCCAGAATAGTCACTCGGGCTTGTCATGCTTCCTCCCGAATGTTGACGCATACCCTCCTCGGCCGGCGAGTAAGCCATATTCCCGCTTGCTGCCATAGACTGATCGTGGATTTGTCGACCTCCTGCAGCAATAGCACCAAATCCTGTAGTGTGCGGGCGTTTTCGAGACAAGCCTGCGACCTCCGTCTCAAGATTGGAATAATGACGACAAAGGGAGAATGAAGTAGCCATGTGTGGCGAGAGATGCTCTAAAGAGTGTCTAAGATTAGATGGGTAAGGAATAACAGGACTGAGAATTGAAAGAATTGCAATAGGGGCTCGCTTTTCCTTGATTGGTTCGGCCCCTTGTAACTTGGAAGAGTCGGCGTATTTTGGTAACTGATCAACATTTTTACCACGACCTGCAGATTTGGATTCCATCGCGGCAGTGTCTAACCGAAATGATTGTACTGGCTTTGAAAGTAAAGGATGAGTTAAGGGAATATGTAGAACAGTCCAGGATCTATCGACTCCAATCGCCTCGACCTGTTGCATCTTAGAATAGTCTTGAGGTGTTTGATTTGGGTTGAATGTTTCTTCGTCTACAGTAGAGTTCGCAAAGAAAGGATTTTCGTTTGTTTCCACCCTCACAGCGGGAGAAGGAGCTGGAGATTGTGACCATGGTGATGGCGGAGTTTGTTCGTATTCTTCATATCTTGGAAGTGGTAATGGAGGTGCTGCTGAATCCTGTGTATTTTTGCCCTTTTCGCCAGGTTGAAGGCGAAAACTTCGACTTGCTCGTTTATTGTGCTTAGTTCCAAAAATGGATGAAACTTGCCCACCCACTTCTGTTGCTTTACCCTTTTTCAGTCGTTCCGGGGAATCTGCTTTTGATCCTAGGATTAGTATAGTGGCCTCAGGTGCCTTTTCTTGATCCGCCGGGTTGTTCAAATATGGATAATCTCTTGTTAATGCAATGACTCTTTCTTTCTCCAAAACTCTCAATACACCGCTACTATCAATCAATGGATCAGCTTCATAATCTAAGGCTTGCAAAACCGAGAATACACGTCCTTGCACATCTCTGTTTGATTGCTCAACATCTTCCCAACTTGGAGTGGGTTTCTCGGCCTCAAATGCCATGTGGTCTTCTAATGCTTGAAGACTGAGTTGTGCCTTTTGAAGTGTGCCTGTTCGTGGTGGTTGATCAGGTCGAGTAGAAATATAGCTTTTAGCGCGAGTGAGAGCGGGAGGTCGTGCGGTGAGATTTCTGGCAGTTTCGGGAAGGCATGCTGGGTCTCTCTTTGTTGCCTCATAGCTAGTGAATGAGTGTCTACTGGGAAGTCCAGGTCGGGTCATGATGGCTTCCGGTGGTGAGTCACCAGACGCGTATCCTTCAGAAGCTGAAGTGTCAAGTGTGTCACCACTGCTACTGGGTATAAAACTGCTACCTCGTGGCAAATAGGCCAGACTTAATTCATCCTCTTCTGCTGCATTAAAAGTTGCTTTTTGTCCCCAGGGAACATTTTCAATGTCTGTCGAATCTGCAGGCACAGAGAGCGTTACCCTGTCAGCCTTGTAGACATCTCTCATAATTTTTACCACCGTCGACCACCATGGATCAAGTCCAGGTTCGGCAGATAACATAAGACTAAGATCATAAAGATTTGGCGTTTCAAAAATGGAATCACGATTCGATATTTGTGAACCTGCTGGTTGAAAATTGAGACCTGATACGGGGGTTATTGGCCCTGATAGAACTTGATCGTGGGGTCCATCGTAAAAGGATCCACCGGCAAAATTTTCCGGATTTACTGTTGGTGAGAGTGCGGTAAAAGGGCGGTGGCCATTGTAGCTAAGTTGCCTCGGAGTCCGCATCGGTGGAAATGGGTACGAAGGAGTTCTGGCATGTAATGCAGCTGGTGTCTCACCTCCCCTTATGGTCCTGACAGACTCTGTCGACGCCGTTTCCATACCAGATGGAATCGGACTAGCAAATGCTGCCTCTAATGATGGTGATATGGTTTCTTCATGAATGGGGGATACTCGTGCCTTGGGACCAGTAGCGCTCACTGTCACTCTTCCTTGAAGCTCTTCTCTGTCCTCCAATTGCTTGGCCAGTCTTTCGCGATGCTGGTTCAATTGCATTTGCGCATTCATGGCTCGAAGCCGTTCCACCTCCTCAGCCGGGTCGTACAACGGTATTGTCCCTGGGGCCAGGCTTAGTTTCCGACCGGGGGCAGGACTCCTTGACTCTCTTGTATGCTCATTTTCTGAATTTTGAAGACTCGAAGATCCAATATCCGGAACCTCATTATCACTGGCCATTTCCACATCGCTGGATATTGAGGGTGCTTTTGCACCGGTAAGGATATCTGGCATCGAGTCCTTCGCCTTCAAATTTGATGAACGTCGCTCTCTTAATCCATGGCTCGTCGGTGATGATGATGAATGTGAATGTAACTGGGTGGGTGAGTTGTCAGTCTTGTCGTTGCCACTGAAACGTCGCGAACCAGGGCGTTTCTTCGAAGTTGGTGAGGACGGTTTGTCAAGAGGAGCGACTGAAGGTGGCATGCCGTCCTCCCTTGAAGACCCTCTTGCAAACCTCTGGCGCTATTTCGACCCCAGACAAAATAATATTGCGATCGCTAGTGAAACCGCCGCAGCGAGATTCTTCATTCGTGGAGATTTGGGGTTGTTATTGTTGATTTTGGGTTTGATTTTGATTACCTTAGTACTTTAGTGTGTAGTGCAAAGTGAAAGGCTTTAGTCGGGAAATGACGTAGAGGGCAGCAGATCTTAAGGCAATCCGGCAGGCAAAAATAGACGACAATTGATGAATAAATCAAATCAAATAACTACAAAGTTCCAAAATGAAAACACTTCTGGCGGGATGTTTTTTTCTTCCCTTCTGTTATTATTCTGACTAAGACTTTTGATTCTTTGAAGAATTCAAGAAGAGGTGAAAAATTAAGTGGAAGGGGGGGGCGTGGGAGAGAAAATGAATAATAATCAGGGCAGAATCTATTTCGAGTATTTCTAGAAGGGTTTTAATGTATGTATGGCGGTGGTGGTGGGAGTGGTGGTAGTGGTGGTACCTAAAAAGGATTGATTGAAAGGGCACAGATGGGATGAGATGAGATGAGATAGATGGATAGATGGATAGATGGATAGATGGATGGGATGAATGGGATGGACCGGATGGAATGCTTCTCCTCTGCGTGTGCACTGTGTACCTACTACCTACCAGTCCTAGGTAGATAGATAGGTAGGTACTCTGTCTCTGTACAAGGAATCACGAATAGTAGGGATAAATAGATAAATAATAGCAAGGAAACGGATTCTATTGGGTCAAATTCGTTTTTTAACAAGTTGTATGTATGTAAACAAGGTTGGATGAATGGATCATGGGTGTAGTATATAATATACGCAGTAGGTAATTATTATAAGTTAGTCTCGGGACTAACCTAACATATCGTGCTTGCCCAAATCCCTAGTAATGAGTACTAATGAGGAATGACATCCATCCCACTAGACTTCTACCTACTCTCCCGTCTGCCATAAATTGACCTTTTCCTCTCCAGCATCGAGGTAAGGAAGAAGCTGGTCTCTCGGTCGTAATTTGATGAGAACGCTGGCAAGTACATATGTATGGGAGATGAACGAAAGAAGCTTCCATTTTCCGTGCAAGTCATCCATCATACATGAATGAAGTGTCAAGATTACTTTGTGTTACATGTCTTCCTTTTCTCTTCCTTTTCTCTTCCCATGTCCATACTGGTTGGGGGAGAGAGGGGGGGGACTTTTTTTTTTTTCTTACAGCTGGTGCAGAGTGGTGCAGGAAAACCCACAAAATCCCTTGTACACGAGACCGTTGGAAAATGGAAACATAAGACGGGAACAGTGGGTACCTTGTATGTAGGGTATTGCTTCTAGATGTTTTGAAGCTGTGTGCTATGCTAGCCCGTGAGAGTGTGAAGACTAACTCAGCATTTCAGGCTCTCAGACTTTTGGGAGTTGGTTCATGATTGGAGTCGACGTATTCGGATGTGAGGATTATTTTTGTATACTAGGTACCGGTAGGCACGGAGCTCGGAATACATGCAATGGAAGGTTCCTAGGAGTTCTGTTTCATATTATGTGAATCGAGACTGGATGTTTAAAAAGGACATGTTGAACACACATCCATCTGGACCAATTTCATGCTTGAATCTTTGGCTCATGGCGTCGTATACTTTCAGAGAATGCCGGCTGGCTGTCAACCGTTGAACACCGTTGAACACCGCTGAACACCGGTACCTCATAGCTTCCTCTATTTCCCATGGTTCCTTTGCATGGGTTGAATACTCCGAGGGAAGGAATTCTTCAACAGCTCACTTGGCTCATTTATCTGCTACCTATTTTGCTACTGCTCTACGAGACTACGACTCTACTACTCCATAAGTACTTGACACCAACGCACTCATACTTCATTCATCCCCCCTGTGTTTCAAGTCTTCACATCTCAATTGTCAGCAAGCACATAGGGTTTATCGAAAGAACAACATACATATGCCAAGCATGCGTAGTGATGGCAACATGAATGATTTCCTTTCGACCGACCAGGTATATGATATATCACACACAGACTAATAAATTATGGCGTGTCAATGACCACTTGAACTGGAATATGGCTGGCCAAAGGGGGAAATCCGGCACACCCAGAAAGAGTCCGTCAAAGTTCTTCTTGACTGACGATGGATGAATCGAAAATTCAATTCCACATTCGGTGATAAGGAGCGCGGGTAGAAAAGTTTTGTGGATCGTAATCTTCCACATGGCATGTTTTTCCATCACACGCTTCGCATTTCTACAGAGGTATCCCTTGAAAGAGCCTCATAGGGCGGTGGGACGAATACGGAGTTATGTACTCGCTAGCCTGCGACTAGTCACCTACTGGCATGGTAGCGGTATGTATGGTGGTTGTCGCCGGGTCAGGATTGTGCAATATTGTATTGTACTGTGTTGTATTTGTATTTGTATTTGTATTTGTATGTATAACATTTCGATGATCTGTGGGATTCCTTTCTCATGTCATGATCACTCTTTGGGGGAGAGCATCGCAAGTCGAATCAAGAAAATATTGCTTTGGACATTAGTAATCATGAAGATCACCTAGGTACCTAGTCGTATTTATCATGTGATATTTCCACGATACCTGGGCATTTTCTTACACCACAACGGTTTATTATAGTAGTGGCAGCGTATGGATAAATATATTTTATCGTTTTCGAGGGACAGATGTAGATAATTGTGAGCCAAATTGCACACAATACAACACAATCAATGCAATGCAATGCAATGCGATCAATACATATCAGCCTACCTAGTACACCCATTTAAAGAGAAGAAAAAAATTCACACACAAATTAAAGAAGGGGGAAAATGGCGCGATAGGGTTCTCTCCCATTTACGCCAATGATATATATACAAATCCCAAAAAAGACCCTGAAAAAGGAACTCTGACGAAAGAAGCTGCACGATGACTTCATATGTCTTACCTTACTATATGCCTCAACCAATGAAATGGATTCCCGCGCACACTCCCCTGAAAATGGGCGGAGAATCCGTAAAGTTGTATAAAGGCATGAACATAAGGAAGGTATGGATGGAAGTGTAAGCCAAAAAGTACTGAGGTTAGGTAGGTAAGGCAAGGTCAGGTTGAATTGGGTGGTTATGCAATTGTGCTCGAGCAACTAGTCATCAATACCTAGGTAGGACCAGTAGATGAACGGATAATATCGAATTTAATATAAAAATTTCATCTTCCTATCAGAATTGGTCGGATACCTAGCATTTGGGTGTTCCATGTATATATCCATCAGGACGGTCGGATATCTGTCGTACCTGGTCTACCATAGAAGCTTTCCATCATCTTCTCTATCTAGTATCTACTCAGACTCAGTGCCCGGTATGCAAAAGTCTATTGCATAGTGACATGGCATACTACCGGTATCTCCCTAGTAGGTCGCAGTCCTTCTTGGTAGGTACTCTGTGTATGATTGCGCGGGAGTGGAGGTTTCTTACATATCTTACATACAATTACTAGTGCTCCTGTATCTGTACAGGCCTATTAAATGATCATGAAAGCAGGAAGATAAGCCTTCACCTGCCGACCACGACCAGAAAGGAAGAGAGTCAAGCCCTTTCCACCCATTCCCATTGTCAATCCTCTAGAAAGGGAAGGAATCTTCAGATCTTTTTCCGCTTCCAGATTACTCGGGGGTTTTCGATGAACGTGCAAATTTCCAAATGTCAAATCCAGTCAGATCGATCGATTGAATAATCGACTCGACAAAGTACTGGGTCAGCCAATTGATTGATGGATGGATGGATGGATGGATGATTCACATTCGACGAAATGAAGAAGCACGCACGGTATCAAAAAGAAGAAGAAGAAGAAGAAAAACCAAATTGGTGAGGCGGTCGTCATTTTCTATCATATCAAGGTCTACCTGTGGAACCGGCGAATTCTCGTACGATCGTGTACACACACCACGCGCCAAGTACGTTGCTAGCATCTGAAGAAAATCAATCCCGAATGAATGCCGTGTAATTAATTCATTAGTATGTAGGTAGGTAGGTAGGTAGGTAAGGTAGGTAGGTAGGTAAGGTAGGTAGGTAGTTAATTATTGTCTTTGAAAACGCTGTAGCCGCAGGGAATAAGAGACGGTGTATGTATCTGGTGTGTATATTTAGATGTAGATATATAAAGTGGTTGGTGTCTGTCTCACCACAAAAGTAAACATATGATTTCCTGGGATGGGAAGATTGATTTGCAATGAGGAAAAAGCACAGAACTCCTTGTACATGTCAAGATTGTCAAGGCGGCGATGAAGATTACTCGGTTTGTATCACGAGATGGCTTACTCTAGAGTATAATGAATAGGTAATAATATTATATCTCCTAGGTACCTACCTACTGGCTCGCTATCTACGTAAAATTGCAGTCGATATCAAGACCAACTTCATCTCCAGCATCTTTCATCCACCGACACCAGTAATCATTACACTGTCGGAAGCCTTATGATATCTTTCTCATGTTCGGGTGAGTCGGCTTGACGAATCGTCGGTCATGATTCACAAACAGAGGGCTACGAGGTAACTAAGGATGAACTTGATAGAAGTTTGTCTGCGTCTATGAAAAGGTTTCTCAAGTTCTCCAATCACCGGTGAACCCATGAGTGAGATTTGATTCCATACATATCAAGCATTGGACGACATGTTTTGCCAAGGGGTTGCTCGGATCTATCCCCCGGTTCTTCCTTTCCTAATTTAGCTGTTTCAAGGTCCCGATAAGGAAAGAAGCTCTCCCCGCTTTCTGGTGTTCTGCATTGATTCCCTTCCCCTTCCCCAGCCATTCTATATCGTAAACACTCTCTATAACAATCAGCATTGAGCATTCATCCTTTTGCTCGACCTTCCTACTTCTTCTCTTTTGGACAATTCTGAATCTTTTGGGGGAGTTTGTTATTCATCGTAACAATCTCCGACGATCTGGCACGCAGGCAAAAGAAGACTGCTGCACGTCCGAG